AGAAATGTTGTAGTTATGTGCAGCCTGAAGGGCTTCTCTATGACCGGACTGAATTCTCATCCGGTTTGAAATCAACAACTAATACCGAATGGACTCATGAGACACAAGTCAAATCTGGTGGTGCTTATTTTTCATTTTTAAAGACTTCATTAGTGGTTTAAATTTGATATAACCTATACAACCTCGTCTTTGAATATTCTGAAGCGCTATAGATACACGCTTGAATGCGCCTTGATAAGCATGAGACAAAAGCATAATGAATGGCCTCACTTGGGTTCTTATGGGCTTAGATTTTTCTATGAAGTAGATTATCTATTCCAGTTTTACAACAGCGTTCATATCAGGCATGCACATCCACGCGCTCTTCTTTGGGTTATTATATCGAATCTGTTGAAGATCATTTTCCATCAGTTACGAACAGAGTCTTCTTAAAAAGAATTTAAAAATTGCCCTCAAAACCCCTCATTAAAATTCATCCAGCATAGCGTACTTGTTACTGAGAAGCAGACACAAAGAATTAGACTTTCGGAGAGTACGAGGAGCCATTATGTGATTAAATTACCATTCATCATTTTGCTATCTGCTGCTTTTAGCCTGGAAGGTTGCTTGGATAAACAGGCCCCCTGTTCCAACGGCGATGTGCTTGTTCTCTGTATTGTGCCATTACTTATTCAAAAAGCGTTTTTCAGATGCTACTTTGAGCATCATTTGGGAGCAGGAGTGAGACATGATATCCTCCGACTGGCACATTGGCCTTTTATGTGAATGCTTTTGATGATTGTATTAGCTGTCTGCATGTGTGGTACTGATCATGTTATTTTTGCCTGCTGCAGAGGAGAAACTTCTAACCCTGTCTATGAGGTGGGGGGGGGATTTGGTCAAACTGGTTTTAGCTCAGCTGGTTTTACGAGGCGAGGCAGTGCTCCTTTTCATTTCGTTGCACAACATCGTAAAGGACAATAAGTCACATTTCAAGCTTTTGATGCAACTGAGCGGGTATTTAATTTTTATGCAATCGTTTCTATTTGTGAATGTCATATTTAATCAAACTGTACCTCAAGTACATCAAACTCAACTGATGTATTTCTCCCTGCACAGTTTATTTTTCAAAAACCCGACACCTTCAGGACAGTGAGCTGAGGTGTGTTCAGTTCACGGTCATAAAACTCCGAGGATCGAAACATCCTGGGACCAAAACTCATAAGCCTTGAAAAGAAAGGTGGACGTCGTCTAGTGAGTTGTCAAAGAAGTCACACAGGGTGCCGAACTATTACATTCAAAAACACGTACCTGAATTTATTTTTGTTGCCTTGGAGACCGGTGGTCTGAAGTGGGGTTCGTTTTTGTCGGCTTGTACGTAGGTGGGTTCCAGCCTGACTGACTGTGGACCATAAACTGAATTGGTGTATTTCAGTTAGTCCTTCCAGAAATCATGTTCATCTTTGGGTGATTTAAGTCACTCTAAAATAGCTGAGATAACAGGGACTACTTGTTTAGTTATGCACAGTTTGTAGGGCCCAATGAAGGATTTACATCAAAGCCCCCGTAAGTAAGCAGCTTGACCACATTATACAGTCAAAACATGAATAAAAAAGAGTTTTGTTGGAAAATAGTAAATTCCACATCCAGCTGCTGTCACAAGATAAGATAACAAATGCGTTGGTGACAGCGACACCGTCTGACACGTTGCTACTTTGGAGATATGCAAATCACTATTGTGCTTCAAGGTCAAGCGCTAAAGGCAATTTACATTTAACGGGGGCCACGGGCAAAGCAAATCAGTTCCCTAAAACCTTAAGCCCTTTCCCAGCTGCACGTGAGGTGTGTGTATTTCTGACAGACGGACTCATTGGGGGGGTATTGAGAGGCCATCCACCAACCCCCCCACACACACTCTTGAATGCATCCACTGTGCTTGGAATCAGATGCACAAAAAAGGAAATGTGACAGATATGGAGCAGTGGATGAATAGCTCAATCCCCCACAGAACCGGCTGCCAGGCAACAGATGCTGATAACGGTCTCCGATTAGTTCCTAGATTGTCGTCGGCCCCTCGCCAAGACTTTGATGCTATATTTACCGCACGCTCGCGCCATCCCTCCGCCACCGTGGCGCGTCATCTCCACATCACGTCTGGCATCCACGGCGGAGCGCCAGGTGTGAAAGGCCGAGGAAAAATGACTTCTCGATGCCGGAATACTTTCACTTTAAAGGGGAATGATGAAGCAAAAGTAGAGCAGATTGAAATGCGCTTACTGTGTCCATTCAAGGCTTGATTGGGCCCCGGGGGGATTTTTTTAATTAACTTTTGAAATATTTTCCTTTTAGGAACCTTGAACACTTTTCACAGACCACATGTGAGCCTGCCATTGTCATTTGGGGAAATGTTTTTTTTTCATCATTCAACCAGGTCTTTTAAAAGTATCCTTTTTTTTTCACGACACTCCATCCTTGCTGAGCTAAATGGGATGTTTTCGTTCAAACTTAGATCGAGGAATCCACTGAGACCCGGGACATCTTTGGAAAAAAGAGCAATGAACTTGACAAAAGCGCCGTAGTCAGCGATAACGTCAGCAGAGAGGAGGGAGATAGTCTGGGGGGAGATTGGTGTGGAAAAGTACAGACGAACAAGAAGAAGTTCTGCTGACACAGGAACATTTTTGATTGTAAGTCTCTCTTTTGTACATAATTTAAAGGACTGCAGGGCTTCAGAATTAAATTATTATTTCATAAATATTAACAATGGCAATCAATTGTGTATTCAGTTTCCACTAATCAAGCAGATGTGAGAGTAAAGGTCCTGCATTGAAAATGTCACTCAAGTCAAATATCTTTATGAAAATGTCCATAATTTATCAAAATAAATGCAGAAATGAACTGGAAATTACTGTTATTACTGATTGATATACTGTGTATGACATTTTTTAGGGAACGTTTTCAGTATTTAATTCACTGTCAGGTATAATATTAAGTAATATTTTACAACATAAGGGGTTATATTTCCTTTGAATTTAATTCACTAAAACTCTCTGGATTGTAGATTCAAAATTAGGGTTCTAAAGGGTTCTTCTTACAGGACTGAGGTTCTACCCAGAACTCCTCAAAGCTAAGGCTATCAGACTGAAGTGCCTGTCAGAAAGTCAATTCCCTGCACCACTGTAGACAAACAAGCTGTTGTAGAACTACTTTCATGACATCTTCACCCTCCAAACCACAATTGGGAACCATGTGCGTTGAGGGTTGAACTGGACCACGTGAACCCGGCTCTTAGAGGAGAATTTCAGCGCGAAAAACACTTACACCAAAGAAAATGGAAAAGGTAACCATGTAAACTTGCGGTGAAACGTGAGGAGACACCGAGGACAGAGAGCAGCACGGCAGCCAGTCAGCAGGCTGAATGGAAAAGAAAAAACATGGCGCACAGTCATAGATAGGAGGCTCCGTGTTGTGCAAACGCTGCCAATTTAGTGCTGACGCGAGGCGGCATGTCCTGTAACCGCAAGCTAAATTGCCCTCAAACGCAGTAATTCATTGCTCTCTTCCAACTTCAGGTTGTAAGTTAAAGTATATATGGCTGATGTGACATAGGAATGCAGAATAAGGCAAAAGTAACGGTGCTGAGCCCGGGTGAAAAGACTTGTTTCTGTGACTTGTGAGTTGTGAGAGCATTGCACTCTACTGGCAGCTCTTAAGTATTACATTAACAGGCTGATCAAGGCTGACAAAAAACAACAACAACAACAATACATAGCCCAGCAATAGAATTAGACCTTTAAACTCTGTTTGGAGCCCTGCTAATAAGAGATGAAGGCTGATCCTGAAAGATGTTTGAGTTGAGCTCCGAAGGCTTTCACTTCTTTTAGATTAAAGCTTGCTGGTATATTTGCTCCAACGACAGTGTGCGAACCTTTTTGATTTCCCACGTGGACTGAATTTACTGACATTTCCGCACACAGCCTACTCCCAGCTCTGCACGCTGGGCACACTGGTGGTGCCTGTGCTACCAGATGGCAGTCAATAATATTGTAATCCAACAAATCCAGGAATCTGCGAGATAAAACGACCTATAGTTTGGTTTTCATGCCTTGCTTTCTTGCGTAACCAAGAAAATTTCACTTGTATTATTTGTTTGTGCATGATCATTTTTTCGTGCTGCACTGAATCTGTTTGTTTGTGAATGTTTGAACAGTTTTGTTTGTGTGTAGTTTTGGTACACAGTCAAATCAAATCTTCATCCTATCAGTGGTGGTAAGAAACAAAGTACTTTTACTCAAGTGCTTCCTGTGTACTTATGGACGATTTGGAGTTCTTGTACTTTGCATTCTCAGATATACATTATCTAATATGTTTGTCTTTGTAATCCATCCAACAGCCGTTATTACAAGTTGTCATGATTAACTTGTAAAATGTGACGGGCGTTGTTATAGATTGAAATAAACATAAGAAAAATACATCAATAACATTCTGATAATGTAATTCCTTTTAAAATAAGAAAAGATTGTTATATTCTATTACAAATATGTGTCTTAAGTAAAAGCATTAAGAAATACACTTACGTAAAATCATTTTTCCATTGTGGTATTATTTAGGAGGTAGGCCTACAACCCTTTATTACAGTAATGTCAACAATTGGGCTATTATAAAGATATAACATGGGAATAATATAACAGATAATGAGTGCAATAAACATGCTACAAAGTCATGATAAAGGGACTATTTAGTCCCACAGACAAAATAAATGTCACGTTTTAACATTTCGTTCTGCCAAATACCTGTAAAGTGAATAAAAAGCATGCTGAAAACTCTTAACCTGCCCTTAAGAAATTCCTTTAAAAAGAGGCAGGCACTCAAGAAATGCTACACAAAGGAACCCATCCAAAATCCAAGAGGTGGGACGGCGGTGGTTCTGCCCCTTTTCCGTAAAGCTCTTCTTCCATTGGTCAGAGCCCAGAGTTCGGCCGCGTCTATTGGCCGCCTGCGCTGTCGGTCGAGAGCGGCCCCGTTCCGCCGCGTTGGTTTCAGAGGACGGGAATCAAGTGAAACAAATCTCCTGACAGGAGAAAAGTTCACGCTGGAGTTCTCAAAGACCTCAGAAGGCCTCATGAAGGTAAGAAGACCCGCAGCAAACGTGTTAAGAGTCGACGGCGTGAGTTTCGGGAGACGACAAACCGCCGCGGCTTTGACCACTTTCTTTGGGCTCCAAAAAGGAAGAAAAAAAAAAAGGAAGAAAACAAAAGATGTAGTAAAGTTTAACGCCTCGAGTGGTCAACGGCTGCTTGGGTCGCATCTTCCGAGGGAGAAAACGGCGTGCTTTGTTCGTGTATAAACAAACTAAAGATATTAACCTAACAAAAAAACAACAACCCACGAGTAGCGACGCCGCGTCACGTCCTCTCCTGCGTCGCGACCCGCCCGGTGATGTTTGACCCGCAGCACGGTGCCGATCGAGCGCACGGCTCCAGTCGTTAAATACCGCTTATTTACTCAGCAGTGTCAACACTACTTTAATGCATGCGTCCTGTGTGTGTGTGTGTGTGTGTGTGTGTGTGTGCGTGTGTGTGTGTGCGTGCGCGTTTAAGTAGGCTGCATCAAAGGCCAGTCTGCAGCAAGCCGAGCGAGAAACTTAAATGGCCTACTCAAATAATGAGGTTCGTCCCGAAACTAAATCCGGTCCCCCCCGGCGTCACGGTGATGACCGGAGCGCGGAAACGGAGCAGACCTCCGGTCCGTGGACCCCCCCCCCCCCAGCTGACTGCTGCTTAGTGGACCAAAGAGACTTCACACAGACTGTGACATAACTTCTATGCATGCTCACATTGTAACCCCCCCCCATCCACCTTCCTCACAAAGCCAGCTGGAAGATGACGTCATGAAGAGACATGTGGACTGATTTTATGAGGATGCTCAGATTGCAATCTGATTTATTGTTCACATTGTTAATGCAGCTTCCTTAAACTGGATTTAGAAACCGTTTGAATAGACTTGTGTGCTTCGAGTGAAGAAGGTCCATTTCAAGCAGCTTGCTCACAAAACGAGGGCCTCTCTGGATCTGGAGCGGAGCGCGTGTGTGTGTGTTTTTTTTTTTTTTTGTGTTTTTAATGAGTTCACAGTGTTGCAGTCGAGGCACATGGGCCGGGCCCCGGCCTTAAAACAAACCACGGATGAAAAGGATTACCCCCCCTTTTTCTTTCGTCGCGACGAGCCGAGCTACCGTGTGGGAATATTTATATTCCCCCGTCGGCTGCGGCTCGGTGTTTGTGTGCCCTGGTGATTGCCAACTCTTACTGGATCCAAGGTGACATCATCTAAACGCTTTTCATCCACACCAAACGTGACGACACACGCCTGGCTCCCTGCGGGGCCCGAACATCTCTCACGCCACGGTGCACGCTCCTTCACACAGTCATCACAGCGCCCTGTGAAATTAGCGAGTAAAAAACCCCAAACCAAGGGGAGAGGTGTGTGTGTGCTCCGGTTTAATTAGCGTTTTACCCCTCCCCCCCCCTGCGGTTAAGCCGCAGACCGTGAGTGCTGCTGAAGGCAGAACTTTAAACACCGTGTGCCTCCTTTGTGAGCGGGATTAGGCTGCATTGTAGGTGCAGTTCACCGGGGGTTGTGGCTCCTCCCTCTTGTCATGTCTGCGTTCGGGGGGCCCCCTGCACGAGTGTCACGCCGGGTCTAGATTGCTGGAAACGTGCTCATGGCGGTTGACCTATGATCTTTATCGCGCTGGGGAAATGTTGTAGCTCCAGCAGCTCGGATATGAGCGGCTGCTGGGCTCCACTCTGTCATTATGCAACTGGGCCTCTGAGTGAGTACTAGTTCAGGTGTGGGCCCCTGTAATAAACAGCGGCACCGGGGAGGGGAGTTTTTCTAATGCTTTGCCCTCTTTTTTAAAAACTTTACCTCTGTTATTTAAGTAGTCAGCCGTCCTTGGCATCGGGTTCTCGGGCCTATTGGTTACCGTCAGATAGAAAACAGGGACTTCAGAGAACACGGCACGCACCACAAAATGAAAGTGGTGCTGCTGCATGCGCGTTGGAGCATTGACCTGTTTTACAGATGCACAACAACTGAATGGCATCTTATTAAGCGCATTTCAAAGAGCGCCCCCCCCCCCCCCCCTCCTCCCCCCTGTGCTGACCAGAGTGCAGGTGAACCTGTGAGATTGGAGTGCAGAGACACTACAAAGAGACCACGCCCCAACACAAACCAACCCAGCGTCACGGGACCCGGCAAAACAAAGATATCATTCAGGTTTAAGTCGTCTGCATATTGGATGCTTGAAGCAGACTTGACTATCTCCGTTTTGATATATATGTATATATATACACACAGTATATGGATGACGATTCCTGCTGACTCATTCGTGTATCTGTCAGTGGTTGGTAGTTTGGTTTTCTCTTTGAGTTATTCTGCACACCTCGCCTACCTTAATAGGTCCGCTGTGTAGTTCCCCCTCTGAAAGGAACTCGCAATAAGCTGTCTGGATGAAATATGTTACTACTATTTCTTTTTAGCACACTGGTTCTGTGCCGTAAAAATCGGCCGGTCCCAGGATAATAAGCACATACTGTACACAGAGAGCTCATAAATCAGGTCAGATAAATCAGATGCCTGTCTGGATGTCTGGTTCCTTCTACCACTTTTGTCATAGTCCCTCAGTTGGTAATAATCTAGTAGTTATTATTATGGATACAGATAATAAAAAGTGACAAACGTGTCACTTGCCATCAATTTGAAGGAGTAAAATCCAAATGAATTTTGTCAACCAAGCTGTTTTCTCTCATCTTGTGCCCTCACAGTCCAAGCTGAACATGGAGAGTTTGACCAAGCCGGAGCTGCTGATGCTTTTCAGCATTTTGGAAGGAGAGCTGGAGGCCCGGGACATGGTCATTGACGCCCTGAAGGTACTTGTCCACGGAGCCGCTAACGTCACCACAACGCCGAAGCTTCTCCCCGCACAACACATGAGCCATTTTCACGTCAAAAAGCCCCTTCGCATGTTGTATTTTTAATTTGTCGCTCATGGGCGACTTTAAAAAAGAAGGATGTGCTATATGTGATTGCAGAGAAGCAAACCAGCAGGCGGTTGGCCTGCATGAACCGACAGTGCATGGCCATGGACGCCTGAGAAAATGTGCCTGTGATGGCTGTGCACAGACATGCATGGCTGCTGTGCGTCTGCAGGAGTTTGGTTGTGACGTCATTCGTCCTGAGATCACCTGACGACAGTCTGGCAACAAAATGAAGACGGAAAAAACTAAATCATCTAATATAAGTAACCCGTCGATGGCATTTTCCTGTGAAAAAGATCAAGTCATACGTGAAGCTGATATTCCTCTAGATCTGCACAATTTGCTCGCGGCACACTACTATCCGGGTCTCGGGAGAAGGGATTCTTTCGGGGTATTATCTCAGAGGTGAATCTTTTTCATTTAAGTTTAAATGAGTAAACAAGTTCCCGCGAACTTGAAATACAAACTCGCTAAGAAATAGACACACACACACACAGCTCAAGAGATCAGCTAGTCCAGCCTTAGAAGGTCTTACGTTGGCATTAGGATTAATGTGGTATTTAATTAAAGGCTTTTCGGGCTATTTTCCCACACTGTGTCCCACATACTCAAGCACCAGCATTTCACTGGGACGTCTTTGATGTTTGAACAAAGCCCGCTGAAATAAGACGACCAGTGAATAAGCAACCTGATGTCCCTGCCTCTCTGAGACCGATTCTCCTGCAGACTTCTTTTCTAAGTATTAATATTTGAGGGTCTACAGCCGTTGAGACAGCCAGCTAACCGGAGCGAGAGCAGCCTACTGCTGAATGCTCACGTGTTGCGTCTAGACCACATTCCTGCATCTCTCCCGGGATCTGGCCATCTAAGGCAAGAGGACGTCCAGCACGCCGGGTGCCTGATGACTCCGGGCGAGCGAGAGTAGCAGTGAACAAATAAACATTGGCCTTAACGGGAGCTTGAGGGGAACATGGCTGTGCTTCTTTCAGAGCTCCACCGGCGCTAACTGTTAACCCATTCAGGTCTGGGATGGATCAATGCTGCACTGTTAACTGTTATGGAGCTTTATTTAAAAAAAAGAAGAAGAAGAAATGCACTGCAGGGACGAAGTGGAAGACGATCTCCTCTCTGCAGCACGGCGTACATTTCTCTGAAAAAGGCAATGCAACCACTTCACACCTTTTCTGCTGTTGAGGAATTAGCGATGTGTAATCCCGAGTCCAGCCGTCACGCGACAGCTGATTGTTAAAACGGGTGCACATGAAACCAGCTAAACCTTCTGCTAGGAGTACGACTGTGTGTACAAATCGACTTAGTTCCAGCCATGAGCTGAACCCACGGTATAAAGAGAAGTAGGTCCAGTCCTGTTGGCCACGTCAGTCTTCACCGATGTGTCACCACTGCCACCGAGGGTCATGTGAGAAATGTGTAGCTCAACCACGAATCACCGTTCCAACGCTTCATCTGCTTAAAGGAGAGTTCTCAGCTGTAGGCTCCATTGCCTGTTTTTGAACATTTTAACAGAGGTGTTAGCAATTTTTTGACAGGATGTAGTGTAAGTACACGACGTGAGATTAATCGTGGGGTTTTTCTATGGTCCCATATATATATATATATATAATTATGCAGAACTACCAGTGGCATTCTGCTGCATTTTTGTGACTCACATCAGCAGCTGCTCACGGTGCGGCTTTCAAAAGGAAGTCAGTCTCTGGCATTGCTCCTATTTGGCCCACAAAGCCCTGCGTTGATCCAGATGTTCCTTTTCTTTCGCGGAAAAAAAAAAAGTCTCTACTTTCAGTTCAAAAATAACTCCAATATGGAAATATCTTTAATCATCTGTTCTGTCGCGTTCACATGGCGTGGCTGCCTAGAGCTTCAAAATGGAGCCCCTAAAAATAAAAACAGGTTTACTGTGTGTGTTCTCCAGTAATGGAGCAGCACTGAATTGGGAGATAACAGCCTTGTTAGCACCGAGATCAGCGGATTTGATTCAGTGTCAATCACCCTTAGCATCCATAATCTTCTGCTTATGATGGGTAGCCTGCATGAGCATTTCATGGTATTTAGCAAGCTGCCTGAGCTGCTCTGAAATGTGTAGGACTCCCGGTGCGAGAAGTTCATACATCACCTTTCCTCAGTATTATACAGATCTTGTCAACCGGCGTTGAACAACTGAAAGAGTCCAGGCATGTGTTAGCGAAAGATAAGATGGAGTGGAACAGCGCGCCCGTGGCACAAAAGACTTCTGCAGCAAAAGCACGCAAGTCGCCAAGAAAACCAGAGCCAATAGACAAAAGCATGAATAATGGCGGCAGGACTGTGTGGAGGCTCTGAGCGCTCGGCGGCGTTTCTCCTCCACAGTATGGCGTAGTGACTAAGCTCTGGTAGATTTGGGTGTTTAAGTATAAAGTGATGTTGGAAATGTGTTTCCTGTAATCCCTCTTTGCACTTCCTCCACCCGCGGAGGATGGAGGCGCAGGGACACAGCCTCTCTTTGTGTCGTGGAAGTCTCTCTGTGCATTCAAGGACCGGGAGGAGAGCTGAGAGACACTGAGTCTGTGTTTATGAGTGAACGTTTATGTATAAGGGGGGGCGGGGGGGGAGAAATTGCACTTTAGGCCAATTATCCAGTTATGAAAATGGGTGCAGGCTGGAATTTCTTTTCAAGGAAAACGATGAACTATCTAAAAAATCTACAGTTAAAGGTTTTTTCGTTGCATCTTTCCAAACGTTTCCTCTTGTATGAACACATCAGAGCAGAAACGGGGTCTCTTTGAAGACTCATCTTCAAACTTGGCCGGCTTTTGAAAAACACAGGAATATCGATAGGCCTTTGGCAGGCAAATGTCATTTCCCCCCCGCAATTCTTCTCCTGAATGGTCTAAGCAGATTAAGCAGAAGGAATTCATTCACAGTCAGGACATATTCTAAATTGCCCTGTGTGGTTGTGTGTTTTTTTTTTAGGACAGGGAAATGTTTGAGGGGAGCCCTGTGTTTTCCACATTAGCTAATATTGCTGAAGATGACAACCACAAGGCCTGTGATCAGCTGGGGCACATTGATTAAACTCCTCCGTCTGCAGCCATCGGTCTTCACCGCCTGGATTTTTCATGCTGAGTTGATTAACTCTCTCTATGCTGCGACAAGCAACTTTAGACTTTGGAATGGATCATACGCAGACCAGGTGTGAGGCCATGATGCCATTGTTCCAGTTCCTTTGCCAATGTCTTTATGCAATTGACTGGTACTCAGTTCTGTGTGTTATTGGCTGAACCTGTGAGCTCGGGTTGCATTGGTGCAGATAGTTTCTGTGCCAACTAAGCGGCAAGTACGTCATGCCGATGCTGCAGGCCGTCTTTGTGCAAAGCTGCAACCCGCCCGGACACGGTGGGCAACTAAATGCCCCGCGAGAACATGGAATCGGGTGGATGTTGCTCGGGCAGACCGCGCTCTCCAAGGACACGTTTCACTTCTCGGTTAATCTCGCTATCAGCCGTCAGGAGGCCTGTCCTCGCCCCGCCGCAGAGGATTCTGTTCTCTCTAATCCTTTGATCCTCTTTAGTTGAAACCTGACAAAGACACACAGCCAGTTCGCCTTTAGCCCTCCTCCCCCTCCTCCCCCTCCTCATCCTCCTCCTCCTCCTCCTCCTCACTCTCCCTCACTTCAGCCCCCCTTTTTGCACGGCAGGCCCTGGAGGCCTCTGCCGAACCCGAAAGGTCCAGCAGCTATTACCCCTCCTTTGTCACGGGTCAAACAGAGAGCAGGTCTGCCTGGGTCCAGGCCCAGTCCAGAGCAGCTGTCCTGCTAAAGATAGACACTCAGTCACCATCTGTTGCTCCTTCCTCCCGCTAGGGCCCTCTTTATCTCGCACGACTCTGCGTTTCCCTGCCTCCCCCTCACTTCCCCTTCCTCTATCTCAGGATCGTTTACCCGCTCGAGTGTTAGAGACGCCGATCGGAAGCAGCGGTTCCTCTTCATGTTTAAATGTGAGAGAAATGAGCGGTCATGCGTCAACTTCAACTGCCTGACTGTGACTATGGAAGACTCAACGTATGGTTCACAGGTGGGGGGGGGGGGGGGGGGGGGGATTGTATGTTTTTTGAGCGATCGGCGCCCCTCAGTGCTCCGTCTCACTCCCGACAGCTCACTCCTCTCCTCTCCCCCGTGTCTGCAGGCCCAGCGTAAAGAGCCGTTTATCCAGGAGCGCTACAGCAGGTACAACCTCAGCGACCCCTTCCTGGCCCTGCAGAGAGACAGCGAGGCGGTCGGGGACCAGAACCAGGACCAGGGCTGTTCCTCCTCTACCTCCAACCCGCTGGTGGTTCTCAAACTGGTGGTGAGCCACTGCAGGAGGATGCAGGAGAAGATGTTGGCCCAGCTGGCTGCAGCGGAGAGCAGGCACAGGAGGGTGGGTGTGGAGACGGGTGCTGCTTTATTAGGAGGAGCAGAGAAGTAGCCGGTTTCTAATGCATCTTTGTCTTTTATATTATATTCCCAAGGGAACCATGAAAAGATGATTCAAAGAAAAACTCAATAAATGCACTGTGATGTCACAGTTACATGATGAGCCGAATAATAGAGCCGCTTTCAGATGCTTCACTGCCATCTTCATTTTCTGCTTACAATGCACGAATCTTATTTCCGCCGAATAGAATATCAAGGCGACTTCCCTCCTGACTCTCTGCCTCCCCGCTGTGCTCACTTCAGGTCATCGCAGACCTGGAGGAGGAGAAGAGGAGGCACGCCGAGGACACGGCGGAGGGAGATGATGTCACTTACATCCTGGAGAAGGAGAGGGAGCGCCTACAGCAACAGGTGCCCTCTACTTAACGACGACGTGAATATTTGTCCACCAGCCCGTTGGTGACTGGTGGAGCTGTAAAAGAATCGCCGTCCGGCGGCCGCCTCGAGCGAGACCTGCGGGTTCCTCTGCCTCGACTTGATTGCCGCGCGCGTTGTCTCCTCTCTCTCTCGCCTTTTGAAGCTGGAGTTTGAGCGCGGCCAAGTGCGGCGGTTGGAAAAAGAGCAGCGGCGGACGGCCGAGCAGCTGGAAGACGAACGGGCTCAGCACAAACAGCTGTCCTGCGCTTTGGCCAAGGAGTGCAAGTGGGCGAGCACCAGGGCTCTGGAGGAAGGCCACCGGCTGAGCGAGCTGAGCCGCAGGCTCGACAAGGTGCTCGCGCCTCCCCCCCCCCCGTTCGTTTTTTTTTTTTTCCCTTTCTGTTCACTGCGAACGTTGGGCCGCCGGGTTGAACGGGTCGTTTTGTGCTTTCTCTCCCAGGAGACGGAGGCCGGTCAGCTCCTGAGGACGGAGTTGGCGGAGGAGAGGAGGAGATCCCTGCGAATGGAGGCGCGGGTGGAGGAGCAGCTGGCCGAGTTCGACACAGAGCGGGAGCAGCTCCGCTCGCGCCTGAGGAAGGAGGAAGCTCAGCGCCGGCAGCTGCAGCGACAGGTGCGAACGCTCGAACGCCACATTGCACATCTTCTTTTTTTTTTACTATTTCATCTCATCTCAGTGAGAAAAATGTACTTTTGGGGGGGAAATTTCTGCTTGAAATAAATGTCTTTGTTTGTCTCTGTCAGGTAGATGAGCTGAAGAGGAGGCCGGAGGAGGTGAAGGCCGCGGGAGACGCTAGAGACGCAGCTCCAGGAGACGCGGACGGACTCGAGTGGGCAACAAAGGTCCCTCCAGGACAGACGGCGGTAGGCGGCATGACAGTCGAGGACATTGAGGAGGACACAACCGACGATGACCAATGTCCGATGGAAACCAACGGGCGGCGCGGCCCGGACGGCGGCCTCTCGGATATCGACTGCGTCCGCAACGGGGGTGGAAGCCCGCCGGCCCAGTCGTCCTTCTCCTGCTGCACTCTGCCGCCTCGCTCCCCCTGCTCCTCGCCCGTCCTCGCCAGGCAGCCCCCGGGCAGCCCCGGCGGCTACCAGTCCCCCTACCAGGCCGGCATCAACCAGCGTTTCCACGCCGCCCGCCACAAATTCCAGGGCGCCGCCGACCCGGAGCCTCAGGCGCCGGCCCCTCAGGCGGCCCCCGCCCTCCCGCAAAAGGACTTCTGCCCAGCGACCGGCAGCTCCTCCCCCAGCGAAGGCAGCCCCGTCAAGCAGATGGCCCGGAGCACGGTCACCCAAGTCCTGTCCCGCTTCACCCAGCGCGCAGCAGAGCGCCGCGCCCAAGCTGGCGCCGACGAACAACTCCCCCTTCGGCACGGACTACCGCAGCCTGGCGGCGCCCTCGTCCCCGGTCGTCGGGAGGGCGGCCGTGGCGCTTCCACAGGGGATACGGTCACCCACCATCGCCAGGGCGGACAGGGGCAACCCTCCGCCCATCCCGCCGAAGAAGCCCGGCCTGGCACAGGCCCCGCCCTCCCCGGCCACGGTGCCCAGGTCGGGCAGCCACTACTCCGACAGTCCGCTGTCGGGCAGCTGCGGCCTCACCTCCGGCCAGGAGGCGGTCAAAGAGCTGGACATGGTGGTTTCTTCTAATTGACAAGCGGCCGATCGTTCGATTGGCCGAGGGATTAGTCAGCTGCTGCTCTGCGTGGTTTAGTCCACGTCTCATCGATTGTCGCTTTGTACATGAGAGGATTCAAACACTGTTACAAATGTATTTATTCGTCTTTTTTTTGTATGCGCTTAGGCGATATTTTAGATAGAAGTCCACATAGTTTGTATTTAAAATGTGCACGCTGTGCTATTACAGTAAGTTATGGGGTCATATTTCCAAAGAATACAAATCAGTTTGTCACCTGAAAAGGTGTTATTTTGTTGCCTTCTATATGAACAAATCCTTTAATCTTCAGACCAAATATAACTCGTAGTCCTTGGTGGTCCAGTATGCACGTTGTTGTCTTTTATAAAATGTACAGTTTATTTTATTAATGCCCCTTAGTTATTAATGTATAATAGGTTAACAATAGATCATCTAATAACTGTTAAAGCTTTGATCAAGTATTAGTTTAAGGAGCTTACACCATTGTATAATAATTTGTTTAAGAGTAGTGATTCTGATGAATGTCATGCCTTTGTCCTTTATAAGAAATCATTATAAAACATTTGATTACTTTATAGTCAACCATGATTAATTATTACTGGATCATAACATTAGCGTGTTGGTTATTTTTACTTTTCAAGGTCCTTTACAGTCCTGTAAATACTGGAATGTGAAGAAATATAATAAATGAATGCCAAAGTTGTCCAATATTGATTTATTTAATCAGAATTACATCTTTCCGTCAGGCATTGGTGAATGCTTGCTGATTATTTAATGAATAAAAACATTATTTGAATAGTTATTTTTTACAATTGTTTGTTAATTAAAATGACATAAAAGTGTGGGAAAATGTTCTCACTTGACTGTCATATGAAAAAAATTCCTATTTTTTACTATTTGGGAAAATGGGTATTGATACATTTATTACATTTAATAAAAAAAGACAATAATAAACCCGTTATAAGAATGGCTGCAAATACATTTTTTATTAATTGATTCATTAATAAATTGAACAATGCATCCCTAGTGGAATACCAATTAAGATTTGATTTGTATCTTCCACCTTTACCCAGACATTTCAAATACAATTCCAAACATATTCAATTTAGATTATTCTTCATTAGAGATTTAAAGCTTTTGTACTGTACAGCTAAAGGTTCTCCTCTAGAGGTCAGTATTTGATAAATAGCAGGAACCATGGGCTGGGAATTCATGATTTAATACTATACTTGGTTATCTGACAAACAGTTTCTTTCATATATGGAATGAAAATATGAAAAGTCACTGCACTGTTTGGATGTCTTTATTCTGCGATCCCACAGGACACTCATGTGCATGTGCTTGTTGTCCATGTGTATTTAAGTGTCTATTTGTGTGCTGAAAAGTAGAATCTCCACATTTGCTGCTGTCTGGTTGCAAAGATACTTTATGAAACCCTTAAGTGGACTTGACTGTTTTCAGAACGTGTTCGCGGTGATAAAGCTGCAATCGCGTGCTGTGTAATGTCACGGTTTACACATCCGGTGACTCGTTCTACCCGCAGACCCTCTCGGTCACTGTGGTCCCACATCAGGACCTTGCAGAGCACACGCTGACTGGGCCTTCAGGCAAACTAACCCCCCCCTCCTCCCCCCTGGGTTGGCCGGTTAACGGGACGGGTCACCTCTTCTCTGCTCAGCTCACCTAATTAACATTCCAGTGTGGGACTGCAGCGGGGCCGCATCCCCAAATCCAGCACAGGCACGCCTGGTCCTCCACCGAAGCACCATCTTTCTCAACCTCCATAAACACAGGCTCAGGTTGATGAGCTGTGAGGGGCCCCGTCCTCGCGGCTGTCACTGCCAGCATGACCCCGACTCCCGCTCCCTCCCAACCCTCCAGCTGTACTGGTGTCCTCTGCTGGTACACGATCCACAGGACTGGGCAGAAGACAGGATAGTCTATACTTTAATCATAGAGTTGGATGCCTTATTCAAAATGTCGCTAGCGTCCACATCTGCTTGATCTGCATGAATAGGATAAAGAAAAGGTTTATTCAAGCTACAGGGTCATGACCCCAGATAGATCTTGGCTTTCCGCGTGTTAGGATTCCACATGACAAGAGGGGTAATAACAAAATCATTTTCATGAATCAACTTTTCTCCCCCCTTATAGTAAATCTCAGAGCGTTGGATTTTAAGTACCCAACCTCGTAAAGTTGGCCAATTATGTTTTTCTTGGAGAAGAGCTGCACGACATCTGATGCCGTTGCACTTTGTTCCAATGTAGATTTGTTACATCTTCTTCCCCCCCTGAGGTTTTGTCAGATGTGCTTGTGATAAGTTACCCCGTGCATAAATAAATGAACTTGAACTTGAAAAGAATCGCTGCAGCTGCCGCGTGTCCCTCCCGGGCAGATCCGGTGAGCGTTGCGTACTTTACGACCGCGGCGCACAAAAACAATAAAGACGCGCCGTGTCGTGGCTGCAATGCCGTGGGTTGGGAATCGAGACGACAAGGCCCGAGGTCAAGGAGAGAGAGAGAGAGAGAGAGAGCGCGTGTACCCCGTCAACCCGCAGATTTACAACCTGTCTCATTCCGGACCCGTCTCACCCGTCCACAGCCCGTCCCTATCGTGGGACGGGCTGTGTTTGTCGTAAACGCCGCCATCGGAGCGCTCATCTTGGTGCGTGGCGCGGGCCGGTCCAACCCCTGCCTCGTCCTCACCTTTTTTCCCGTCTCCCCCGTGTCGTTCCCTCACCCCTTTTACCTTCCAAGGTCAGCCCCCGGGGGGCCCTGGGATGGGCCCAGAATGGGAGCTCGGTGCCCCCGCCCCGCCCTGCCAGGCTGAGCCCCTTTAGGACCACAGCTGGAGCTCAGAGCGAGACAGAAGGAGGGGTGGGGGGGGGGGTGTAAAGCCATTTGTTATGGAGTTGTCATCGTAAAATCCATAACTTGTCCCCGGGTAAAAAAAGACAGGGTCACGTGTAATGAGGACCCCCGGTGTCGCTTTCAAATCTGACATGACGTAACTTGAAGACAAACTGCTGGGTTGTGCGAAGTGTGTTGTGGGCCACGTGTGCGATATAGAAAAAGGAGGGGGGACAAAAGAGGGCCCGCGCACCCTAAAAAACATGATTTCGCGTCCAAAATTTTTATGCGTTCAATGGGGAAAATCAGTGTTCCTTGATAAAGAAAAAAAAGAGTTTTTGGGATTCCCCCCCCCCCCCCCCCCCACCACTCCACAGACAGCCACATTGTCACTGACCTTTTACGTGGGTCTCCAACTGACACCCCTGGTTTGGCACTGATTAAAATGACCTCACACTCCCACACGCACGCCTGCTGTGGGCACACAGCTTCTCATTAGCATCCTTCTCTACCTGTTGGACACACACACACACACACGCACACACACACACACACACACGCACACGCACAGGCAGCGCTGAGAGAGTGACTGACGTCGCAGGGTTTCAGGCCACAGGCGTCCTTGAGGTGGGTCATATGTTTCCACTTCGGCTCTATGAGACGGACCCGTTTCTGGATCGGGACTGTTGATGTGAGCTGAACTACAAACATGCACTCCGGCGGCATTACAGTGGAAAGGGGGGGTTATTTACTCGGCCCGTGGCATGAAGGCAACTTCATGGAACGCATCATACGTTTTAGAAACATAACTTAATGTTGCTGTACCAAACATGGAGATATCAGGCATCCATATAGGATCCCTTAATGATGAGGACAATTTTCTTTTTTCTAACCTCAAAATGAGGAAATTCACCTACTCACTATATGTATTTTGATATGAGCTTTGATACGGCAGGTTTCCACACGCCTTCCGGTTCGTTGTGTTACGCTGTATCCTGCATTAGAGCTGCAGGACTCATTTCAGGATCGACGTTGTACGTTGTAAAGATACACTGTGTCAATATTATCTTTGAGCAGAGCTTCTTGTGTGTATGCAAACTGCTCTCTCCAGGTCTTTGTGGTTGAGAAGAGGTTGTGTGGTTCAAGTCCTCTCTATTTAAGGGGATCATAGTAGTTTGTTGTGTTCTTCACATTTTTTCACATCCAATTAGTCTTTTTACCAGACAGTTATTTAATAATGTAATTGAATTAGTTATGTCTGTTCTGGGCATTTGACATCTATTGTTTGACAGTCCTGGAAGACCCGTCTCTCTCTTCAAACGTAAGATAAATGGTATATTATGTTGTACAGATTGTAAAACGCTTCTTAGTCAACTTTACAGATAACCAGTTCAATTTCTGGAGGGCAATTTATTGTGAAAGTGACTTTGAAAGAGTTCCCTCCGCCAGAAATCTGAGACATCACTTTACTGGACCAGCTGGCAAACAAAACAATGTCTAAAATGCCCCCTGGGAAGGATTACCCATCTCTTTGGAAACTCTAAGTTCTTGTTTAATGATGTGTCAAAGCAGAAAAGCTTGACTCCTCATAGCTAAGGTTCCCTCGACACCGATGACGCCAACAAACGACTTACTGTACCTGCCTGATCTGCAAGGCCAGTGTTTGGTGTATAGTGTTTTCATGTATTTGTATCAATGCTGCTGATGATCCCCATGAATAAATGATTTGATTATCATGGATGCCAAAAAAAGGCTCTTTGGTTCAATGGCTCATATTCTAACCATGATAGCGTGTTTATGGTGAGAGAGGTTTATTGATTGCTTGTTGTTGGTATGTAAAGAAGACGGGCAAGCAGTACAAGGGAAATCTTTCATTTTTGTGGTAATGTTTTCAAGCGCGGCCTATGGTGCCGGCTACAACCTGATGGAGTCCAATGATGCGGTGTTAATAAGGGTGATCCGAATTGGCACAAAGCACGTTGCCGCGAGAGAGAGTATAGTCAGAGCTAAGCATCGGTTCGAAATATAACATATTGTCAACTCCCCGGGCTGGCAGTTGTTAGATGGGCTGTGAGATTTTTCTTATTTCATGAAAACCGTTGGGACTTGTGGGAGGGTTGCAGGAGGGGGGGGGGGGGGGGCGGACAGCTGACGCACTGGAGCGCAGCGCTGCGCGTTACGGTGCGCATCTTCATTCCTGGACGCAGGAGGAAAAGGTGCGCGTAAAATCCGTCCCCCTGCGTGGAGACGGTTCTTCCGCTCACACACGCGTATCTGATTCAAGCGACTTCGACTCTGCTGTGCCGCAGCATCGGATTTCCCTCCGCAGCTTTAACGGGGTTCAATTCAGTGCGCAACAACTGCAGGAGAACAAACAAGTTCAGTTTATTGCTGATACGAGACTGTTGGAGACATCTGAGACTGGAGTGCTGGACACATTGTGGTCTGATGGTTATGGATTCAGACAGAACATCTGCATGGCTTTATTAAATGTTGGCTAAGGGAGTTTTGAAGCCCTTTCCTTCCATATGAAGCTCTTTTTGTTCCCAGATGATGGGCGGCGGACACGCGTCAAGGACTTTCACACCTGATTGCGCCGACACATGAAAAGAAGCAACATGTTTTCTCTGATGAAATCTCGGAGAGCAGCGGACAGCTGCGGGGCAATGGGCAACAGAAATAGGACAAAATCCCCACATCGCTCCAAACCAATCAAAATTTACTTCACTTTTATTTTGCTCCTGCTCGTTTTTACCCCGAGGGTGGATTCATCGTGGTGGTGAGTGAGATCTTTAAAGTGCGTCTGCTAATGAGATCCATTTTAATTACATGATATATCATTATATAAGTGTTAATTAGATAAACAACTATATCCAAAGGGAAATTATAGAAAGGTTAAGAGAACGGAGTTCTTATGCAAACTTAAAACAAAGTGTGTATTTCACTCTCAAAATTACCATTTTCACGAATCTCTCCCTATTATATATTTAGAGGATATTATAGAGGATATTCTTTCATGTATACCTATATGTATATGTGGAAATATCCTGATAAAAATGCAGAGAAAAAGAATAGTCATGATTTGATTGGACAACCACAAACTAAAACGTTCCTCTAGATGAAGGCAGGTGCTTAGTTTTATATTTTTTAAACATTATATATCCAACAAAAGGTATAAATGGAACACATTTACTATCCCCTCTGTATGGGAATTGGTTCTTGTTTTTTCTTATAACATCAATGCAAAGTGTCATGTGTTTATAAGGATTAATGGTGATGGGGTTGTGTGTGTGTGTGTGTGTGTGTGTGTGTGTGTGTGTGTGAGGGGGGGGGGGGGGATCTCCCCTATCCATCCATCTTGCCTGAAGCAAGTGGCAGGTGCTGGCGCTGGTGCATGAATAAATGCCCCTTGATGATAATTCTCTTGAGGTTTTAACTGCTCAGAGGTGAAAAAAAAAAAATCATGGAGTGCCTCACCCCTCCATCCCACCCACCTGAAGTAGCTGGTCTCATGTGTCAGCCACGCTCTTTTTGAAATTGCATTTGATGTGTTGCCCACTTTATATATACAACCAACTACATTGAAGCAGTTCTAATTCTACATTCTCTCCATTCACATGAAGCCCTTCACCCCGTAACAATTAGCCTCTTTTTCACAAATGAATGGATTTGTAAATTAGGAAGTGAGTCGTAATTTCCCCAGAGGGACAAAAGCATATGTTATCCTATTTTCCATTGTGCAATAATCCTGTATGCAAAAACATGAAGAAAAACTGCGAGAAATTGCCGAGAAATTCCAGAGAAACGGAGCGACGCCGAAGCAGGAGAATCCAGAAGCGTTTGATTAATACTCATTTAATCCTTGTTTGCATTGTCAGGGCCTATTTTTAACCATTGCGATAATCTAGACGAGCACCCAGCGTCTTGTTGCACGGCACCGACTTTCTTCTCGCTCTCTATGCCTGCGTCCTCTTGGAGACTGTCAGGGGTCTTTTGGCACAGCCGGCATGTACAACACACAATAAACACAAGTCGTGCTGCTGGTCTGCTTTACTGCTCAGCCAGATAGTCGCTGTTAGAAGGGACCACGGCGGCCATAACGGGAGTGGAAAATGCCTGCTACGTCCGCTTCTGTCCCGGTGGCCAGGCGACACGAATGTGGCTATAATGATATCCGGATGGAGAGTGGAGCGTTCAGGATTAGGGAGGGAGGGGGTGAGTGTGTGGCGGGGGGGGGAGGGTTGCATGGTGGGGGGCCGCGCCTGCATGTGGTGGATCTGTCTGGCTGGGAGGGAAGGCCTGAGCGGTCACTTGCACTGTAGATGACTGTCCTCTGTTGATAAGAGAGAGCCCCCCCCCCCCTCAGTGTCACAATACCAGCAGCATGTGATCCGCCCTTTTAAGAGTCGCTCCACAGTACGGGATTATGTCTGAATGGAGCAGGAAGCAAATGGCCCGTCACACGGCCAGAGATGCTTGTCACTGATCGGGAGGAATTTAATAATCTCTTCTGCGGCCTGAATATGTGAGTCTTAACAAGGCAAGGAGTGTGGGTGTGGAGAAGTGTAGGCATGCTACCGGTAATCTCACTTTAAAGCTCGGCATTTTGAGGAAAATACCTCATTCGCTTTTTCCCGCAGAGAGTTGGATGAGGAGATATCTCTCTCCTGTCTGCGTACGCCAAATACGAAGAAACAAACTGCAGCTGGCTGGCATAGCTTAGCACAAAGACCAGGGAGACAGCTAGCCTGACTGTCCAAAAAAAATAAGAATCTTCTGATGGTCTGGGTGAGGAACCACCCAGGAACCACCCTTATAATCGCAAAGTGACAGATTTAATATCTCCCACTTGGTCAAAAGAACTACAAAGAAGTCAGCGAACCAGTTGCAAAATGGCGGCAAAATGACCATCGCTATAGCTGCTCATTTAAAAAATGAGGTAAATCCCTGCAGAGCCCCAAGACAGCGCACCACCTTGAACCTACAATGCACAGCATCGGTGCAGTGCCCCTTTATCTCATCACGATCAATGCCGCGCCCGCAGGTACATCGGAGCCCTGGGCGCCCGGGTGATCTGCGACAACATCCCCGGCCTGGTGAACAAGCAGCGGCAGCTTTGCCAGCGGCACCCGGACCTCATGCAGTCCATCGGCGAGGGAGCCAAAGAGTGGATCAAGGAGTGCCAGCACCAGTTCAGGCACCACCGCTGGAACTGCAGCACGCTGGACCGGGACCACACTGTGTTTGGCAGGGTGATGCTGAGAAGTGAGTCTGCACGTGTGTCACGTGGGGGGGAGAGAGGGGGGGGGCGCTGCTTGTGCGTGCGGGACGCTGCTTGTTTACGTCGGAGACACTCAAGTTAATCATCCTCGTAAATGCCTCCGCTGTTACCAGATAAGCAGAGCATTAATAGGTGTCTTATTAAATCAACTTTGTCCTAAAAAGAAACAGAAAGTCTTCATTCTCTTTCTCCCCACCTTCTCTGGAATGAGGGGGAAAGTGGATCTTTCCCCGAAAAACAAGTAGCAGATCGAGAGATCCACACTGGTGATGTATAAACAGTAATAGGAGATGTAAATATTTGGGTAGATGTCTCTGGCAGCCAGACAAAGCTTTACTCCCTGACATATCGCCTGTGTTCTGCTTCATTGGGTGAGCAAGAATGGGAACAGGAGGTGGGTGGGAAAGCCAGACCAAATAACCCCCAAAATCTCCTCTTGTCTGAAATGAAAACACAGCCCAGTGGCTGAGGAAGCCGCCATCTGGGTAGAATAAAAGGTGAAATGAGAGCATATCGACATATATTGGACCTTACTAAAGAAAGCTACAAAACCGGTCGAGGCGGCGTTACCGTGAAATAGACTAACGCAGGAAAAACGTCAGTAAAAAAATAAATAAATCTGCAAAATCTGTGAAGGATTTAACGACAAGGTCTCGCTTTTCCCGCGCACGCAGGCAGCCGCGAGGCGGCGTTCGTGTACGCCATCTCTTCGGCGGGAGTGGTCTACGCCATTACCAGGGCCTGCAGTCAGGGGGAGCTGAAGATCTGCAACTGCGACGGCCACAAGCGAGGGCGAGCCAGCGACCACAGGGGCAATTTCGACTGGGGGGGATGCAGCGACAACATCAACTACGGCACCAAATTCGCCAAGGCGTTCATCGACGCCCGAGAGAGGATGGTGAAAGACGCCCGGGCGCTGATGAACCTGCACAACAACCGGTGCGGACGGATGGTGAGCAGCTGGACTGGGATTCGTTATGTGGGTTAGGGGTTAGGCCCTAAGTCTCCGTGGTTCAGGGAAGAGAATGTATTTTGATAATTAATGATGATATTAAATGCATCAATGATAATATAGCATAGTTTTTATATATATATATATATATATATATATATATATATAATGAGGTTTTCTGTCACCAACGTAGTCTCTGGGTGTGGTCCATGTAGTGTTCAGACTGCAGTGTGTGCTCTGTTTATGTCTCCATCATTTACTCGTTACATTTTTACACGTCGTCAAATCTGTTGTTTTGTAATTTATTTCCCTTCTTTGTCATTTGGAAAAATAGAAAGAGACGGCTGTGTCACTTTTTTCTATACAGTTTCTTTTGAATATTCCTTTAGCCGTCCTTTTAAAACCGTGTAGGAAATTTTGCCAATCACATTTTTTAAAACATGTAATACATCCATGTAGACATATGCAACGGCATACATTATAAATACGCTCGCAGAGGTGGATTTAGAATCAAAGGGTCCCTGGAGGAAGACGACCTGAAGCCGAGCTGATCACACCTACATCGTGCCGTGGGCAACATCACAGGCTTAACACCCGGTCACCTTTGACCTTTGCTCTAGGCAGTGAAGCGCTTTATGAAGCTGGAGTGCAAGTGTCACGGGGTCAGCGGCTCCTGTTCTCTAAGGACCTGCTGGGCTGGCGATGTCCGACTTCAGGCGGACGGGCGACTACCTGCGCAAGAAAGTACAACGCGGCCATCGAGGTGACCATGAACCAGGACGGGACGGGCTTCACGGTGGCCGACGGGGACTTCAAGGGGAGCACCAAGAACGAGTTGGTGTATGTCGAGAACTCGCCGGATTACTGTCTCACCGACCGCTCAGCAGGTGAGCGAATAACTGAAGAATTTGTTTTTTGGGGGGGGGGAGTTAAATCGTTTTTTTTTTTTAATAGGGACAATTTGCGTGGATGCTTTCGGTGAACATCAAGGGCGTAACCATGGTTTAGACACGGGGCTGTCTGGAATGTGTGGCTACGCCCTTGGTGAATATTGAAGAAAAATGAGGAAAAAGACTGCACATTACTCACAGGGCTCAGTGTGCTTATAAATGAAAATCATGACTAAAAAGTCAGTTTACTCAAATTACACAACTTTTCCCAAAGCATCCCTTTTGGTATTTAGTCAGTGCTTAAGTTTTAAGTGTGCCTGGAAATCCAATATTTCCAAAACAGGTATTTACAGAAAAACATAACATTCACAAACTGATGAAGTCAACAGCGGTCGCTCTTAGCCGGCATAATGTTGTGTGTACCACCTTTCAAACTATTGTATGCAGCGGCTTAAAGACTGGACTGAGAAATCCTCAGTATGTGGAATAATCCATTTTCGTGCAAAATACTAGCCAATATTTTTTCAGAGACCCACAATTTGTTTCCAATTTTCAATTAAAAGACAATTGGGTCAGTAGACGAGATGAACAGGTGGTTTGTCCCACGTCGCTCGTATTAGCGATGAGAATCGGAGCCTCGTCCGCTGAAGGCTCGCATTCCTCCGCAGCTTAACGTTCAATGATCTGACCTTTAACATCCCCTTTAATTCCCGGTGTTTGCTTTACCTTGTTAAGCCCCGTCTCTGTCCTCCAATCCGGCCCACTTCAACAGAGCGTGAAGGAGCTCACTAGCTGGCTGTTAATAGGTTAGCTAAGATAGCGGGGCGGACACATGTGCAGGGGACGCCACGGTTCCGACGGATGATTCTCCCACTCCTCGCCGCCGTTGGCTTGGTTGCGGCTCGACAACCGAAAGGGGGTAAATGAAGGTGCGTTCACTTGTGGAAAAGGTGATCTTAAATAGAAGCTGGTGACCCTTCCGCGCCACTAATCTCCATTGTGTAGGAATTCGTAGCCTAAGGATACATGCAGGCTTATTTTTCAAAATCCTTTCCTTTGGTCAGTAGGCTCCACTCCCTAGAGCCCTGAGGGGAATAGCTCCTCTTATCCTTTTTGCTTTACTCCAGGGATGCTCTGTTATTAGACACGCCGTTTGATCCCAGGCTTAGATTTTACACCCGAGTACGAGGACACTTTTGTGTTTCTCTCCGAGACTATTCTGTCAGCGCGCCTGTAAGCCAGCGCCACACCCAGGAGTGCGGAAAAGTGCTTTTGGAAATCCCGTTTCAGTTTTTTCGGGATCTGGATATTCCCCCCCGTGGTGTTCAGAGGTGGTCATCTTCACTTCTGGAACATCTGCAGCAGGTCGTCACTGGGGGTTTTCCAAAAAGGAATTAAGTTTAGCTGACATGACTTGGGCAAACAACCACTGAAGAAGAACAGTGGCTATAGAGTCACTGCACGTGCAATGGAAGAGGTGCATGTTCAGACTTCAAAAATACAATTTAAAGCAGCATGCATCATCATTTTGCATCACAATCTGGATCAAATATTTATGTATAAGGCAAAATTAGCAATCCTTCCTTCCTGTAAATGTAGTTTAGTATCGCCTGACTCTTATTCACGGCTGAGGAAAGGTCCGGCTCCACACATTGTCTTTCTGGAATCGGGGGGGAAACCCGTGGCTTGTTTGTGTCCCTTTAAAGCAATCACATCTTCTTGGGTGGCGCAGAGTACAAATGCAGAGACAGTGTGCAAATGTTTGCTATTACGTTAGAATTTAATTTCGGTAACATAACAAATATATATATATAAAAAAAAGAAAAAATACACAACTAAAAAAAAACCCAATATCTGTACATATTTCTTTACAGGCTCCTTGGGCACAGCAGGCCGAGTGTGCAACAGGTCCTCCAGAGGCACCGACGGCTGCGAGGTCATGTGCTGTGGGCGGGGCTACGACACCATGCGCGTCAAACGCGTCACCAAGTGCGAGTGCAAGTTCAAGTGGTGCTGCGCCGTGGAATGCAGCCACTGCGAGGACCTGGTGGACGTTCACACCTGCAAGCCCCACAAGAGGCCCGATTGGCTGGACACCACCTAATGAGAAGCCCCGACCAATCACAAGTCCCCACGGGCGGACCCAATAGCCTGCTCGCTAATGACTGCATTTTATTATGGGATATATAATTGGGATCTCGTAACTGATCCGGTGACACTTTGTGAAGCAGAGACTCGACAGACTTTGATGCTAAACTGGAAATTAGGCCCAGTGACTGATTGTGTGCTGCTTTAACAAGGGTTTCTAAGGGTTTGTGAAGCTCTTTCAAGATACACGTTGAATCTTTGATGCAAAACGGCTGATTATATTGTATTGTTCTTTTGTAAGCGTTTGAAGCAGCGATATGATGTGATGTCGGCTTGTTTAATAGTATTTTAAGACGGTGTGAGAACATATCCTGCTCATTACGATCACATTCACAGTAATATTTAGCCTGAAGAGAGAGACATAAACAAAGAAAGATGATAACGAAAGATCAAAATATAGAAAGATATATTGTAAGAATATTGACATTGTATCATTTCAAATTATATCATTGTGCAGCACAAATCATTTAAAATACAAAAATGCAATTGCTGCTAATCTGCGCGACTAGAACAAACCAGCAAAAAGTCGGAGGGCGCTTGTGAAAAGTTTGCACGGGGAACCGGAAGGAGTCGGGAACAGAAGAGCGAGCGAGCACGTTGACTTTTCATTCCCAGGTGAGCGGATCGGGAGCCTGTTCCCAGGAGAGGGAACCGTAAGGACTCTGGAGTGGTGACCGAAAGCGTTAACAGTGTCCCACGTGTTCTGTCTGCTTCCCACCCAAAGCATTGTGGCTGAACGTTATCATTTCTACCTCTGAGTCTTCCTTACAGTTTTTTTTTTTTGTTCTCGCCCTGTACGATTCCGACAGCACTGAGCAATTGTCCTAAACACTCAGAGAGACGTAACAATGTAACGTTGTCTGCTTAAAAGGTTGTGTAACCCAATCAAAAACATGCACCGTGCATGGAGGTCACCGCGTGAACTCCTTTATTTACCAGACGACGTCATGCAGAAGGATATTTTTGATTTCGTGACAGTACAAAGCTGCCGATCGTTTTCCAAACTGCTGGGCAGTGATTTGGAATCTGAAGTCCAAACCCAGCTGGATCTTATATCATCAATAGTAGGGCTGTAACGGTATACACGTATCAGGGTACATTCTGGTGTTAAAATGTACTGTTTTCACACCATGAACATTTTGCTGTGTGTGGTATGAACTGACATCAGTGAGCTTGTTTGTGTGTTAAACGCTGCTCCGCACCTGCATTATTAAATAGTGTATTACACAGGTAAATGTTAATAATCACAGGACATTATTTTAAAGGTTTGTTGCTATAGTGTAAACTCCTGTAATACAACATTGTAGTTTCATTCTATTTTCTAAATCAGGTTTTTGATTTTGCTATTCGGTTTTCATTCCTTTAAGGAGGACTGTTACTACTACTACTATTACTACTACTACCAACACTACTACTGCTAATGAAAATAATAATGCTCCATATCGCTGTAGCTTAATGCAACAGTATTTTCAAGGACAACGTAAAGATCTCACGCTGTTACAACCTAATCGGTACCTTTAATAAGATGCTCACCAAAGCAGCGGTTTTTGATCTGAACACCTGGTTAGACATCAAACATGAAAGCCCATGTCTTCTTTCCATAATTTACCTACTTCTAAATGATAGTTTTCATCACTTTGATGGCAGTGAGCTCCAGAATGCTGCGGAGAGGTTTGAAAATGTTACTTTATTCAAAGTATTCATGAGCTGGTGAGCTGAAACTTTAAGAGGTATAAAAAGGAATCGTTAACACAACACCACCAGCGCTGTGTGTCTCCCGGAGGTTTATGCTGCTGATAATGTCGAACACTATTCCCTTCAAAATAAAAGGCTTCAGAATGTGCATAACGACACACGTCCATATGCGTCTTGGAGTCTCAAGGTTGTGGCGCTTTTCTCGTCCCGGCACAGCATGTTTCTTCTGTCAGCGCATTGTGACTGAATACTTCTACTACGCAATCATTTGCAACGGCGCTGTCCGTCCTTTTCGCACGTATCCACTGGCTCCGACTCGTCTGTGAGGGGTGAAGTATTTCATGAAATTGAGGCCAAGCCGTTGCAGAAGGAGCAGCGAAGTGGCTCTGGACGGTCCAACATCTGGCAATGCAGCCAGATATCATGCTCAGGCCATTGGAGACGCAACCCTCAGAGGAGGCCATAGATCTAAATGAGTCTGACAACGAGCTGTGGATGCCGGCGGGGAGGTCAACAAATTTTTCCACGTCCACGTAATGAATGAAGCCAAACGTGTCAAACGTTCGCAAAAGTCAAAAAGTTAATTGCAGACAAAAGGAGGCTGTTGTGAGTGTGTTTTTCTTAAAGATTAGAAAGGTGAGAGCAGTTCTCATATCCAGTAAAGGGAAGGGGAGCTTGGTGGGGGGGGAACAGACCCTGAAAAGTTCATATTTCCATTTCCCAGCTGAATCGAATGTGATAAAAGCTCAAGACCACACCGCCAGTTTAAGTCGGTTTCTGAAATTTAACATTGGAAAGCTGCGTCCACATTAGAAGCCAGTGGGCCCTGATCTGCGCTCCTATGGACGCGGTGAGGGGGAATGTCGGAACTGATGCACCTCAGGTAGCTTTGATATTGGCAACTCCAACTTTGCACTCAAAAGTTCTACATTTCAGCCAAAAAGAAGATTGGTACCCGTGTTAGTTGACATGAATTTATGCAGCGGATGCCGCATCTTTAAACCCGAGTCGTCGTCCCCTTGTTCAGCGTTAGGCGCAAGTGTCCTCGTTTGAACTTTACCTTTTAATGCTCTATATTAAACCATCTTCTGTGTTTTAGCCCCGTTTCAGTTATGGCAAGAGAGGACAAAGATACCGGCTTGTGTAGGTGCTTTTAAGTTCAGCCAGCTCCCCGTCAGTACATCTCCCCGAAACATAGCCGGACTGGCAGATGGCAAAACGCAGATAGGAGATGTTCAGTGATGCACTGTTGCTAAGTTCTGAGTCAACTTAAATCAAGGAACTGTCTTGGAAAAGTATTTCAAGTAATATTTTAAGTAGTATTTTAAGCAATTTCAGCTAAGTTGAGCACACACACACACACACACACACACACACACACACACACACAGGAGATTAATAATACTTTGCTGGTGTTCAAATCTGTCACAGTATCCTCATCGCTTTGTCCCCCACAATGTGTGATACGGTTGAACTCTATAAAAATAACAGGAGCGGCATCGCAGGCATTCTCTTTCATCGTGCGGATATCAAATGGGCATCTCAATTTGACAGCATTTCACAGCTAAAATTGGCCCCGGAGGGGGGAGAGAGAGAGAGAGGGAGGGGGAGAGAGACTAACAGTGTGGTCCGCACGGATGTTTCACATTCAGGGAAGCCAGAGGGGAGAGAGAGGGAGAGGAATGTTGTAATCCATGCTCACGAACTGTAATGAGTCCAGAGCGATTCGGTGTCGCGTCACTCTCGCACTAAACCGTTCAGATATTCTCCTTGAACTTGTTCGACTGGTCCCGACACACTGCACTCAATCACATGACTCATATCTGTGACGTACGGCGATATGGGGAATATGTTGATACGTACACATGGTGAAATCGTTGCTCTCTGGACTATTTAGGGAAAGTGTTGAAAATCTGTCCCAGAAGTTTCCCTGTTTTTCTTGGAAAAGAGGTCGCCCCCCCCCACCACCTCGTGACCCTGTCAGCAGTAATTAAAAAGCTTCACGTTGACGTGAAATTGGACTTAACCGCGGCTGCTTTAGTGCAGCGTATCAGCCGTCCTTGCCAAGTGACATCATCCTCATTTGTTGCAGAAGAGAATCCAGCGATAAATCTCTCACGCGGGTTTGTGGCGCGTTGACAAAGGAAGCGATTCATTCCCACAAACTACAGGCAGAACAGTGTGAACGATACGCCTCCAGAATAAGATCCAGATCGGTACACTTAAGGCGCATAGATGACGCTCTAAGTGCAATAATCAAGCAGCAACTTCAACGTGCAGAATCCCGACATTCATTCAGGGGTTTATCGCGCGGACGCAGAGCACGAGCAGGAGGGATGTGGATGCTGCACAGCCACATTAGAGACGGTGCCTGACACCAACGGCAGTAATAATAATAACAGTATTAATAACGGGAATAATAAAAATGGAATCACAACCCAACGGTGATTAAAGAAAATAAATATATAATAAAACAGATAACACGTACTTCCTTTCTGCTCCTTATCTTTTTTTTTTTCTCAACATCTTGGACACGACAACATTGCTGAGTGTTTGTAGATGCAAACACTACTTGTTAGTTCTACTGTGTCGGATATAATGAGCAGTTTGGGAGAAAGAGGGCAGCAGTGAATTTAGTCTATTTCAGTAATGCCTGGGCGGTCATCAAGAAATACAAACACACTGAACCCAACCTAATGAATAACCTCATTTTCTCAAAAACTTAATTTTTGTTTTAGGCTATTTTATGCATATTTAAAAAGGCAAAAGTCGAGTTATTTCCCTTACTAACAGACCATACACATTGTAAACTTCCCACCTCATCATACGGGGGCACGAGAGGATAAAAGTCCTCCAACAACTCGTGTTCCCGACATGCAGCTCTGGCACCGAGAGCCGACACTTGAGCAGCCGTCAACAATCCTCCACAGCGATTCTCATTACCGCCCGCTCCTCCACTTGAGCACGAGTGCATGGAGCGGGATTACGGCACCGGGGGGGCCTCGCTCTGCTGACGGTGGTGGAGTGGTGTAATTATCCGGATGCCTCAGCAGGCTGGCAGGATCCAGGAGTTTGGTCCTTGAGCGAGATACCAGCTCACCATCCAAACACACGAGGGGAAATCGCTTCCATCGTTAAAAGAAAAGCAGTTATTCTTTAGATACGAGTTGAAATTAAGTCGCTCAATTTTTTTGTAATCATTAGACACATTTATTTAGTAAAAGACAATCTTGCATTTTTAATCAGTGAACGGAACGTCAGCAAACCAGGGGGGAATTTCACTGAACGGGAAATTTATTGGGAGTTTTGCTTTTAAAACTCATCCCGGGGATGGGAGGGGGGGGGGGGGGGGGGTAGTTACAATTTTTTCCAACATTCTCCTGTCTTCAGCGTGTACTCTTACATTACCATTGATCACTGTAAAACGTCACATTTCAAGTGTCACGAATTTAAAAACAGACAGATTTACACACCAGAGTGAGATGCAAAACAGAATCGGGTCGTTCAAGTCAACTCTTCACGTGCCATTAAATCGTCACCGGCTTCTCCTTTTCTGCTTTGACACGTACGAGTATGTTTGCCGACGCTACCGGACTGCTGCATCTAACAACGCTGATCACTGGACAATCAACAATTCATTTACACATCACATTTAAAACCATCCACTTATTATTTTACTATTTATCAAACCGAATCCATCAAGAGTTAAGAGCGATGACACTCGACATCATTGCTGAAGGGGCAAGTAAATGCCAAATGACACGATAGTTAAAACCATAAAAGGCACTTTATCATCACGTGTTTCATACCGAGTAGAGTGAAGACTTGTAGGATATCACTTGTTCTGATAATAATGTTGTAACGATAATGTAATAACTATCAACATAAGTAAACATGTCAGCCTTCAGTCGCTTAAAATGTAATAGACCTGATAAAGTAATAAACTATTTGGGACGATGTATTTTAGATTCCCATCAAGTGGTGTTACAGTGAATGTTTTCTTTTTTTCAATAGGATCACATATTACATTTACAGGCTATTTTCATTTCAATTTGCAACCAGCCACATTGGTTCCAGACAAGTTATTACATTAAACTTTACATTATTTCACGTTTGATAAAACAGAGATTAAAGTCAACCTTTTAAGTCACAACTAAACCAGATGCAGAAGAATCAAGTCACGTACAACTTCCGGACAAAATGAACAAACGCACAGTGATTTTGTTCCGCACGAAAGTTAAATAATAACTTACTTTGTAGAAGCGGTCAGAGGACGTTCGTTTTGTACTCAGAACCAAGTTTATTTCAAGTATCGCGCGGCCTCGGTCCACTCCCAGTGCGACCACCTCAACGTGTGCTTCGTTAATATTTGTTTGACGTCTGGGGGACGGGTGGACGGGTGGGGTCGGGGGGGGGGAGGGGGGTCAACCGCACTGACTCAGCGATCAGCGGCTGTGACGAGCGATGGTCCAATTCACGTTTCTACTACGTTGCCGCGGTGACGGTTGCCACAGCGCCGAGCTGCAGAGGCGTTGTATACACCGCAGGCACTTTGAGGCCGTAAATCACCGCTCTGTTTTTGAGGGGGGGGGGGGGGGGGCTTGTCGGCGCTCCAAAGTGCCCCCTAAGAAAGTCTGTGGTGCACTGAGAGTAGACGCAGGACACACAGGGTCCCATCGCAGAGATCCGATGAGACCTCTGTGTGGTGGGAATAAATAACTGAGCGCGGAAAAAGAGAAACAATGGGACCAAATTGGTAAACATGTTCCACAAAGAGCGTCCTTACTGTACATACAGTTATTCCTGTGTACGTTCCGGGTGTCAGTAACGCGCCGGTTAAACCTTATTTACTCATCTGACCAGACAGTAAGATTAAAAACAAGGCCCCCCCCCGCCCCATGAATTATTTATTATTGTGATGGAACAGAAGAGTGCCTCTAACAAACTCCTGATTTAATATGTGCACCAGAAATGCGCAGCGAGGCTTTGTGGGAAACTTCGAATCTTCAACCTGCTGCAGGGCGAACGCCATGACTAATTAGAAACCCTTGGAATGGTTACAGAAGGTTTTCACTAAATGTGCTCTTGGAAATGCTGCGGCCGATGGAACAGCGTGGGAGGGCGTCCCGAGAGTGGCTTCGCCGTGTTGACACGACCTCAGCCAACGTAATCAGTAACAATGCAGCAAGTGGACAGTAATGCTGAAGACAGGAGAGCAAACACTTTTTGTCTGAGGGTTTGGAGTGGTATTGGTGTGTGTGTGTGTGTGTGTGTGTGTGCGTGTCTCTATGTGCCTTGTGTGTGTGTGTGAGATGGGGTCAGATTCGAGTCAGCTGGTGCCAAAAACTGGACGGCATGAAGCTTTCCATCTTGTCTGCGAAGAAACCCAGCGGCGCAAAGAGTGTGCTGAAGAACTGAGAGAGAGAAAGAAAGAAAGAAAGAGAGAGAGAGCAGAATGAGCAATAAGTTCTTGATAATGTTTAGGTAAGAGGTTAAACATTTACAGAAAGTATGTTTCCAATCCATGCTTCAATCGACCTTAACGTTTGATATGTTTCTAAGGACGTACAACCGACTGCTGGAGTTCTTTCAGGAAACAAGACAGGTGTCATATGAACTATTGCATACATACATGTATCTATATGCACATTGGATTCTGACAGAAAATATAGAAGCTTTTCCAGAGAACAGAAAAAAGAAAAACATCTGCAATGGTATTCTAACAATGATTTCATGTCTACAACATCAGACAAACGCTACTCACACTTACAACCCAGAAGGAGCGGCGGGAGTATGTCCCCCTCAGATCTGAGATCAAGATCCAAGTCACACCGCACAACACGTATGCGCGTAATCGAGCGTTGCAAACATCGCGATTTAAGATCGCTAGCTAAAAATATTACGACGTGGTTTCTCCCTTAAAAACGACTTGAAGTGTGCGTGATACGCTTGACACTTTAATAGCTCCGTGAGTGGATGCATCAGCCCGGCCAGACGAGTGCAAATCAAGTACGCCGCTAATCCCTTTTAATATATGAAACACAATCAACCGTTACGCTACGTGTGTCTGGTGTCCATAAATGAAGGCAGGGCCAACTGCCACCAGCGCCTCGGTCTGGGACCTCCTGTTGGGGAGGAGCGGATCGAGGGAAATGGGGGGCCGGGGGGGGAAGGTTTGTCCTCAGAAGGCAGCGAGGACCTCTGCGCTCCCTCCTCGCTTGTTTTCACGCACCCCATCTGAACATTGCGCAAAGCAGGTTCGCCGGGGGCCTATGTAAAAAAAAAAAAAAAAAAAACCCTATCTGCCCTCCATCTTTCCCATAACAAAGAGAAGAGCACTAGATGTTCCCCGCGGCCTTGTTTTTACTACGTGTCTATGCGAAGGCAGGCCGCGATAAACAGTGTGACCGTAAACAAGCGGTTCCAGAGTGAGCCCGTTTGCCAGACTAGCTAAAAACAGATAACACAACACTTCTGCCATAAATAAACAGCCAAGGGAAGTCGTTCAACTCCTCTGCGTCTTTGTGGCCGCGAGCTGCACTTTCATGTTGGAAACGGCGATAAGCTCGCGTTATCCAGCTGTGGCCGCGGACAGCTGGTTTTGGCGGGAAACACAAGACTCTGCAGGCCTGCAACTCCCATGAGCCTCCAGTGGTACTGACAGCGACGGAAGGCAGCAATTACCACGGGGGGGGGGGGGGGGTTCAAAGATTCAACAGAAAAACATGCGTTTAGAACAAAGAGCCATTCGGAGATTAATCCGAAGACGCCGGATGTGTAGCCATAAAACGGTGGAGTATCGGAATCAGCATCCGTAAATCGAGCGGCATTGAACCTTGGAGAGGAGATCGCGACGTGCAGCCGAGGTACTCACTGCTTTGGCGAAGACACCCATGAGCTCGGGGAACTGATGCGTGAGCATGGCCAGCATGGCAGTGAAGGAGCAAAGGCCCGCTGTGAAGAGGATGAAGAAGGGAAGCTCTTTCTTCGGGTACACGGACACCTCGTGGAATGCTGGGAGGAGGAGGAGGGGGGGGCGCGGTCAGTGCGGAACAACATCCGACGAAGCACTTTCTGTTAGCAACCAGGTACGCGAATGGGCTGCATGTAGGCGGTTGTACTCACAGGGCAGTAGTTCCCGGTCTGCCGTTTCCGTGCACCCCGGGTAGGGGTAAAACAGGTGACCCTTCTCCAGAGGGTAGGGAATTATCCGGAAGGCTGTGGAAGCGCAAGGAAACGGGCACAAAAGACGAAAAGTCAACGAAAAGAACATTGACATGACCAGCTGAATAGATACATATTACACAGAGGGAGAGGCTACCAGAACCCTAATGAAATAGAACATTCTTTTTTCGGGCCTCGCTTGAGGAATGACCTCGTTCCTGTCGGGCCGCGCATGCGTGCTTCGCGACACGTCGACTTCAAAATGGAAAAGCGGAAGGAGACACTTGGGGGAAATTTGAAACAATTCATTTGAGCGAAATGAAAACAGGAAAGACATCACGTGCAAAGCGGTGGTGTAGGGCGGGAGCGGTAACAGTGAGACTTACTGCCCTCCCAGGTGCAGTGCAGGAGGTTTAAGGCTCCCTCCGCCCTCTTCCAGTGCTGCAGGTGGAAGAACGCGTACGCCACGGCCTCGCTGTCGCCCCTCTTCAAGATGTGCTCCGGAGGGAGGATCAGGCTCTTCATCTCTAATAAGTACTGCGGACGCCAAGGGGAAGAAATACACACACAGTCCGGTAAGAGTGCACTACTGCAGATCTGGCTTAATGCTCAGTGGGCAACGTTTGTACCGCCGGGAAACAATGTGAGAATCTCCAGTCATTTCTCAGCTAGGCAAAGAATTGCAAAAACTAATTAATAAAAGCTTTTAATGGTGTCATCCACATCTCCTCGTAACATATTTCCTACATGTGAGGTATTTATTGACAGCCTTATTTTGCAATTGTTCGAGGCGGGAGCCGAGCGCTTCCCAGAGCTCGATGAGGGCGCCATTGTTAGGGTTACTGTCCAGAGGTCACGACCCGTGGAGCAGGTGTGCTTTCTGGAATAAGAGAAAACGAGCTTCTGCTCGTCTGGGATTCGCCGCCTCACGCTGTCCATAGCCGAGTCGTTAACAGGCGTGTGCTGACTTTGAGGACTACTTCACCTCCGTGGTGCCCGGTGTGGCAGAAGTCGGGACTGAGACAGGGGGGGGGGAGGGGTCTGGATCTCAGACTGACACTTTGGGAAGGTTACCCCACAGCTAATCCTGTCTAATCCCCTCCATGGCCACAGGCTCAGCCAGCCAGCCATCCGTCCATCCATCCATCCATCCATCCATCCAGACAGCCAGACAGACAGACAGACAGGCCATGCTGCTACACCCATCTCTCCTGCCTCACCCCTTTTTCTCTACCGTCACCCTCATAACCGGGCTCCTCCACCTGCCCCTCCAACCCTCCTTCAGGCTCCTTGAGCTCGCTGGATGTGGCTCTGGGTCCCATCGTGTCCCCTGGTTCTTTGTCTTGAATGTCCCCCCACTCTGCGTTCCCTCCCTCGACGCTGAATTTCCGGCCAATATTCCGGAAATATTTATAAATGATGTGTGTTCTACGCAGGCAGTTTGTCAGGCCCACCTCACCCCTCTCAGTGGTCTGCTCCCCACTCGGCTAAACCGCCACCCCCCCCCCCATCAGGTGTCACGTCTCGTAGCCTCTTCTCTTCTCAAACATTCGCCGGAGCCGCTGCGAGACTACCAGGAGCTGCTGGTTTGACCCAGTCGCTCATCCTGTCTGACTCACTTTGAATCAGTTCTCTCTCTCTCTCTGCAGACTGTCCGCCTCCATCCTCCGGAGCACAAACCTTTCACCATCCTCACCCCCCCGCCCCCCCGGCCCCCCCGGCACCGGTGTCGAGGCAGCCGGCCAACCCGAGAGAGAGAGAGAAAATCCGCCGCTTGTGTCCGGAGGACGGCACCTGACCGGATGACACGCATTCGCTTTGGTGAAGCATGCCGAGCAGGTGGGCGATCTTAACACGGGGCCCAATTCTGAATTTCACATTTGATCATTTTGACAGTCCAATAGGACACAGTTTTGCACATGCATAATCTTCCATATTATTCTGTATATGGCAGCCATGAGGATCCGGCTCCTCTGGGGTTTAAGATTAACCATTTAGAGAGGCTGGCTGCTCAGCTGTCCTTCCTTGCATGCCACGGCATTAGACCTGGTGACACCTCAGTCGTCTGTGCTGGCCGACCGCGGCCCCCCCCCTCGTTCCTCGGCCCCCGCTTCTCCACTCCCTGTCGCCTCTTTGATGAAGGGATCGAGTTTCACGTGTTCTCCTTTTATCCCCGGGCAGTCATAAACCCAGAGCATAACTCATAAGCCGCCTTCTGATTCTAATCTGCGGGACTCTGCTGCTCACAATGAGACGCACAGGCAACGATGACATCAGCCTTGTGGTTGCTCTATAGGGGTCGGACAAACAATCACTTGTACAGTGAAAAACAGGTGTTAGATTAAGGATTTCATAGTCAGTAAAAAAAAAAAAACAACACACACCACAAGCTACTCGGAGGACAGTAGCAGACGACTCACAGCATTTACTCTCCAAGTGGGGCAGGAGGAGGCCGTTCCTCCAATCCGGAGTCGAACCTCATCCATCTTCATTTAGAACAAACCCAGCGACTGCTGGTTTGAATTACGAAACCAAAAAGGCAATTTCCGAGGTAAACTGGGTCTGCACTTGGGAGTCTTGACGGGCCTTCTATGAGAGCGTGTCAACCAGAATGAGCTGGGATGAAAAAGCGCCTTGCAAAGTGGAGTAAACTAGCGCGGTAGATGAGATCGGGTCACCCGGACCGCCTAAACATTTTTTTTTAAAACCTAAAAAAAATGAACTCGCAGGGACCGAAGTGGTGCTAAGTGTAAATGCACAACAGACTCAGATAGCAGGAACACTTGATCAGCTATCCAAGCATCCGGCAAACTCTCAGTTTCCTCACCACTGGCTGGTGGAGAGGCTGATTGGAATGGACAGACAGATGGAGAGAGGGGTGGCGCGGGAGGAGGACAAATGGAGAAAGACAAGAGGATGGGGAGGGAAATAGGAGGCAGGGGGGAGGTAAAGAGGGAAAAGGAAACAGACGGCATGTGTGGGTTTGGTGTGGCTCCTTGATCAGTTTGAGTGAATGCGTGTGAGACTGAAGTATAATCTCCTTGCCGTGCTTGATAACACACACACACACACACACACACACACACACTGAAGCGTTTACATTGTTTCTTCATTACTCCACTTGTCCATTGGCTTTTTTTATCATTCAATATCCACTTAATTTAAATCTATTAAACGCTATGAGCTTTGCAAAAGTGAGTGTTCAGCAATTATGAAGCATCATGATACTTGACTTAACTTTACAATGCGTTCCAATTTTTGTTATGAAGCATTAATAGTAGTTATGAGGGCTTAGAAATGTAGTTATACACTACTATAAGCTGATCATGCATGTGGCGTGTACTTCAATAACACATTACAGATGTGGGCATCACAGAAAGCGTTGCCTTCATCTTTCTTCCAGAAGGAAAATATATTTCTTAGAAAAGGAAGGTTAAATGAAATGAAGCACTGCAAAATAACATTCATCCCTTCTTTTTTTCAGTGAGTATATTAAAAATAGACAAACAAATTGTTCACTGAGGAAAGTAACACAAAGCAACGAGCCCCCCCCCCAGCGCTACATTTTCATATGCAGCCACTCAAAAGACGTAACGCCACTCTGTCACGAGTAGGAACCAGATGCCAGTCAAATGCCGAAAGATGAGCCCTCCAAAGACCCTCTGTGGAAGGTGTGTTTCAACATCAGCCGCCCCGTTGGGCTCAAACAGGGGAGGAGGCAACACCAGAGGATGAGAAACGGGATGAGGGTACGTGATGAGAGGTGGGAGGGGGGGGGGGGGGGGAACAATTGGAAAAAATTTTAAAAGGGGTCCCTCACTTTAAATTAAAAGGGTGGAAAAAGGGTTGGTTGACACCCCGGGACAAAAGCCCCCCCCCCCCCCCCCACCTCACGCGCACACACGCACGCGGATTCTCTTTCTGACTACACTACAAAGGCTAATCTGAGATAAACCTCAGCTGCAACTAGTTGCATATGACCGTGTGTGTGCATGTGTGACACCTAATCCTGTGGGAACTGATGGGAAAAGCCAGCGAGATATCCAGTTGTGGTCCCCCCGTCCTCCCCGGTTCAGTCGCATAGAGAGCTGCTCTGCACTGTGACCAATCGGTGATACAGTATGTTTAGCTTTTCTCAGCACACAAATTCAAAAAAGCACCCGGAAAAGCACATGATGCCCAAATGAGTCCAAAGATACGGCACGGTCTTGTAACACTAGTTGATGATCAGGGCGAGTAAACATTTAACAGTATACATGGTCTCATTTAATAGTATTGAATGGATTAATACTAAATACAAGAATCACCCAAAATACTGAATTAGCGACATAAAAGACAAATATATACCCAGAGTGCTGACACGAAAATGTATTAAGACGTACACTGACACCTGCTGTTAAGACACAATAGAGCATTTCTGGAGAGAAGCGCCTGTTATATTTGTAGGTCGCACAACCCGTCACTGCTGACACGACTCGTATGCTATGGTTTACCTGTCTGACTGCTTTGCCCGTTATTGTGACTAAATACAGATATGGGTCAAAAAAGGAATCTACTCCAATCACTTGGGAGTCAGGCTGAATCAGGCTGATGGCTGACCTTTGGCACGTGTGGATTGAACTCGACGGCTCTGTGTATGGCCTCCACGGCGTTCATCTCCGCCGTGCTCAGCCCTCGCCGAGACGCGGCCTCTGGCGAGAACCTGAGACAAGGGAAACGGGTGTGAGAGATCCTCCTGACGATTTTGTCTGCGAGGCCGCGTGAAGCAATATGGACACATACTTATCTGATACAGCCCGCGCTTTCAACAGGGCAGATGTGTAGCATATAGTGGCTGATTTTGGCAAGCTGATGTCTGTAGAGCAGGAAGAAGTTGGGGTCATGGGACGTACATTTTTAGGTCCCATTCAACGGGAGTGAGCGTTAAAAAGAAAAGAGGTTACCATCATATTTGGCGAGGACCGCCTGGACATCGGCATATGCCTGAAGCTCTAGAAGGGCCTCCAAGAGGTTTTCGTGTATATTTAACATTCCCAGAAGTGGGAATTCCTTCATTAACTGTAGAGAGAAGAAGATGCCAAACATGAACAATACACTTTGTTAGCAGTACTACTGCGCAGGTTTTAACTGCAGTAAATATGTTCCCCAGGTAACTACATTGCATGCGTAAGTCCACACATTTCACACTATAGCAGTGAGCATTCTGAGGTGCTTCTCTGAAAGACACTCACATCTCTCATCATTTTCACCGCTTCTTTAATCCGACCGAGCTTGCGTGCACACATTGCCAGTCTGCGTTTAATGTACACCAGCAAGTTGATGTCTTTTCCAGCTGTGGACGGTCAAAGGAAAATAATAGACAGTTAATTTACCAAAAATGCAAAAAAAAACTGGATTGAATGGTATCACTACGCGAGTTACAACTTCCAACCTGTGCAGAAGGGAAGCATTGATTGAGTCAGTACATTGGGTGTAGTTGTTCTCCAGCTACTGTGACAGCTATTGTGCCTCATGGTTCAGTCATTGGGAGCACTTGATGTGAACTCAAATCCATTCTTACCAATAGTAAGGGCTTTTTTGAAGAGGCGCTCAGCTTCTGTGATGGTTGTGGCTTCCTCCTCTGCTAGAAGCACGTAGGCTGCAGCGCATCTACACGCAGATATGATGTTTCGCATGAAAAACGAATAACTTAAGGGCATAATAGAACTAAAATATTCATTTGTATGTGCTCGTAACTGAAGCAAAGACAACCACAGGGACTTTCTTTGAGTATTCCCATTACAACACACAACAATATGATGTTTATAGATACATATTTTCTCTGTAAACACTGGAGAGAGCAGAACTCACTCCTGGTTCATTTCTATGGCCTGATAAGCGGCTCTGATCCTGGCTTGAGGATTTCTCTCCCTCCAGGCTTTCTGCATCACTGTTGAGACATGACATGAAAATCCCGTATTACAGATGCCACCATCCAGGTCGAGAGCACCACAACAAAGGTACTAAAAACGGTTCCATGCGAACATTTACAAACAACCAGAGGAATTTGTTCCTGTAGGAAAGGTCAGCAGCGTTTTGCCGCTTTGCTGAAAACGACAAAGAAATAAAATTGTCGACTAAAACTCACCAGCATCTTCTGGTCTCAACTGTGGAGTGTCTCCCGTGAAGAAGGTCTGATGGTCTTGAGCTGACAGGTTCATATCATAGTACGTCAAGGGTTCCTTCCCTGTTACCCAGGTGTACCTGTGGCGTCAAATATACAATACAAAGTGTTACAGCTCTGCAATAATACATTTCTATAAACGGTTTGGAATTGTGAAAAATGTATTTTAATAATGTCACACATACCGGTTGTACTCTGCTCCTCTGAACAGATTCAAAGGGTTCCTCCAGACCTTACACTCTGCCGAGAGGAAGATGTTGTGGTTATTGCTTGTGGTACAAGGATTGGTGCTCCTCTGTACGGTCTGCGTCGCACACGTAGCTACCTGAAACACTGGGCCGAGGCTCGGCTTCTCCGTTGACCGATGCAAACAGGCCGGTGGTGGAGCTGCTCTCCACTCCACCCAGAAGAGGACGCAGGTGGCTCACCGACACTTGCTCAATGAACGAGGTCCCGTATTTACGGAAATACCACCACTCAAATATCTGCGGGGAACACACACACACACACACACACACACACACACACACACACAGCGACAACGTGCTTTTACAAAATGTACACGATCAGACAAAAATGATGTCTTGGTCGCAGTTGCTGTCATATTATCACTAGGCCAGTGGTTCCATTTCTGTTGCATGGCCCCCATTTGGAAGCCACACAACTATTTTATACTGTGCACCTTCAGTTCTTTTCAAACTGCCATAAACACATAGATACTCGCTATAATCTCAATGAATTCGGTTGCTTTTTAATAGTTTGTCTGACTTTCAATGTCTCTCTATCATCCGGTTCAGGAACCACTAAAATATGTGTTTTCCCCATTACATTCAATACTGACACTAAATCTAGGCTACCAATCGTGGATTCTTAAAACAAATAAATAAAACAAATGGGAAGAGTTTATTGGAAAGTGTGTCCTCTAAAATGCCTGCAAGCAAATATCATTTTTGCAAAAGAGTTACTAATCAACGTCCATTCGAAAGTGTGAGAAATAACCAGGTCGGTAACTCACAAGGATGAGCCCGGAGATGAGAGAAGAGGTTCCGGTCAGAGCCACATAGAATTTGGGGGTCAACGTGTTCAGAAACATCGAAGCTGAAAGGAGGAGGAGGAGGAGGAGAAGAAGGGGGACAGTTAGGACGGTGACACATTGCGACCACAAACGAGCGGAGTGAGCGTCGATGAAACTAAAATGCGTGCCAGGTGCCAACAGAATAAAAGCATCGCAGGTGGGTCTCGAATAGCGAGTGACGTGTTATTAGCCGCGTGCAAGTATCTCGATTATACGATGACCGAGGAAGGTAATACAATAATAAACTACTAAATTACCAGGAGAAAAAAAATCATCTCTAAGAGCTGGCAGTAAAAAAAAAAAACTCGATTAAATAAATAAGCGGAAAGTCGCTGTTATTTGTGCTTGAATGAGTCCGACAAAGAACTGTCAAAACCGGCGGCTCGCGCTCGCTGTCAGCTAAAGCCAGATAACCGAAGGCTAACAATGGCTAGCTAGCGCTTGCGTTAATTCACCTGAGGTGAGGGATTCCTGCAGCTTCAGCGGGCTCCACAGGACGTAGATCATGATCAGCACCATGCCGAACCAAATGAAGCACACGTAGGTCCATGACCAAGAGAGCCAAGACTTTAACTTCTCTGTAAATCCGAGAGATTGGGGATTACTGCCAGCGGTGTCCTCCATGTTTCTCCGGATGCCTGTAAACAGAGGAGTCACGTGACCGCGAAGGACGACTTCTATTTTGAAATGTCGACAAAGATCCGTTTCCGGGGAAAACGAAAAAAAATATCTAAAATCATGTTTAGTAATTAAATGACAACATTTTAGCCAGAAATACACATTAGTGGCATACGGCCGAGTTGTTGAGTATTCCATCAATAAGGGGACTTTAGGAACATATGTGTTGGGCTATAGGTGACTTCTTATGCATTTTAATAAACTTTAAAATGTTCAACACTACTTTTTCCTCCATCCAATTTGTCCATGACATAGTAAATGGTCACTAAAAACCCTACTAAAACCTTGAAATGAGGTATTTTACCATTAAAGTGCTTTATATATATCAACCAGTACTTTTCTTAATCGGTCAATATATACATTTATTTGATTCTATATAGCGGTGCGGATCACTGCATGTAAAAAATATTATTTTTATTTTATATTCGTCAATATAGTTTATTTCAGTGTACGTTGCCTATGCTTTGTAGATATCGGCGGTAAAGATGTATACCTTCTTTTAATGTCATATGGTACTCTGGTACTACTTGCTATATGGAGACATTTCTGTGGTGTTTCAGTTGAATTGTTTTTGTAGGTATTTTCTTCCTTCTTTCATTTTGAGCATGATAAGCCCATGTACATTATGGGAGTACTTCTTCAAACCTCTTAACATTAGGACTTCAGGTAACGATTATCCAGATTTTGTATTAATATTTTTCTTCAATCAATTTAGCATTTGCTTAGATACTGTTGCTTGGTTGATTTAGACACAATGCTTATTGTAACCATGCATGACTAGCTGATTGTTATTCTCATTCTAACGGAAACCCTTCACAAGCTCATTTTATCCTGTGCTATTATTGATGACCAGTAAGTGGGGCTATTACAACATTGATGGATTCGCTTCTGATGCAACCTACTGACTGCAGGTGGAGACAACGTTCAGTTTTGTTTACTTCCCATTAATATCTGAATTCATTACCATATGTTGAGAAATTCATGTTTTCTGCAATGTAAATAGTCCCTATTCTCTTAACCCCACTCTTGTCGTGGAGACACATTTTGCACGCATCATCTAAAGATCCAAGCGCTATGGCCTCGTTCAAACTGCCAAGTCACTGTGCATACAGGGACGACTACTCTCTATTCCTATTATTTAACCTACATAATCATAGACTTACTTTCAAATATAATAAATATTATTGTAGCTTAAAGGTAGAAATACATTTTTGGATGTGCACCACCCACAGCACTTCTCACCTTTTTGCAATAGACTCCCATCTCAACAGTGCAGGAATAAATGTGATTTGTTGGAGTGATTTTTGTTGGAGGTTACAGCCACTGAATGACAGAGAGCCAGATTTGGTCCTGCTCACACATGCCCTTGGGTGTTTTCTGCCTGATGCTGATGGACAAGCACTCGCAGGGTTAAAGGCCTGTCATATAAATCAGGTACAATCACTTTAGAGGTGAAAACATGCATGATGCTACTGACAGGGAGGAAGAGAAGGGAAAAGAAAGGAAGACTAAAGAAGTTATTGGGGGTTTATAGCAAAACCTGAATGTATTCCAAGCCATTATATTTCCAAATGACCTCTGCTCAGTGAGTCATTCGTTGATAAAACATACCTCCTGGAATAAGCAGAATAAACAGTGATATCTCCTCGGTATTTACACTGCACACCCAACGGAGTTATATCTGGACCGCCGTAAAATAAGACTTGTCGCAAGGACATTTGCAGAATTTCTGTATCCAGCGTAATCAAAATAATTCATTACATTTTCTATTCAGCACATGGGGCACAAGTTAACTCATAAGTATATTTAGTTTGACTAAATTGCAAATGCAGAAAATCAAATTTAAATAAAAATAGCTGGCAGTGGACAGTAAGTGTGATTTGAACTGAACACGATCAGTCAGCCAGTGTCCAGCCAGGCAGAAGCAATGTCTATCATCATTCCGCATTCACCTGTATACTTAAGGTTCATTTACAATTTCACGATTCACAGCCATCGTGCCATTCTGGACTTCGTGTTCTGTTTATGTAGTTTCTTTCTTTTCTGTCCCCAAAAGCTTTTAAGAGTCCTCTAATCATACATAATTAATCAGGGTTTTCACTTAAATGCGCTGCATTTCTCGCTCTCATTATTACTTAAGAGGCTGCTCTTTAAAGCTGGAAAATACCTGGCGCTCTGTTGATCGTATTGTTCAATAGCTGTTAAAACAAGTGAGGATGTATGACACTAAAATGTACAAAACATGCGTCAATATTCGATCATTTCAGGCTTAAAGAAATAAATCATTTGAATATTTCATATAAACATTCTAATATTGTTTGATGCCAGTAAAACATTTATGTACAGATATTTTATGAGTATATAAGTTTGCAGTGAGCACTTTAGTGCATATGTACAAATAATGTGACTGTTTTTTTGTACCTGGTGGTCCTTTCTGATGGAAAACTTGAATCTTTATGAAACTGCTTCTTGTCTCCCACACTACTTTCTCTCTGTGAGTTTATGTTACCAGTCTCTACAAAGGGACTCTCCCCCAAGAGTCATTTCTCTCAAAACACCTCATTTTCAGGAAATGCGTGTTCTTTTTTTTTTGCATCAGGAGACCGTGCCGTTTGACCACATCTGAAAGCGATGGTGCCGCAGAAAAATGATTTCCTCCATGACAGGCACAAAGACCACGTAGCAACATTTCAACCTTTTCTCTGTAAATGGTTAAGGATGAGTGGACACATTCTGCGGCTGTTTCATAACTCCAATAATGACTAATTTAACACACGTTATGGTCCCGCAGAGAGGATACCCATCAGTAAAACAGCAGCAAGGGAAATGCATATCATGCACACTTTATATTCCCCTGCATTATGACTGCAAAGTTGTCATTTTCATAAAAAGGATAATGAAGCTTATTCAAAATCCCATGGATACCCTTGAACGTCAAATAAAACATGACGCAGAATCATCGCCTTTATCAGCGCAAGCACTAGAAAACGTGCGAATGGAAACGCTAGACGTGGAACAACAGCTGAGGAGTGCAGCGAGCAGCCTCTCAGCTCTGTGTGTGTGTTGTGTGTGTGTATGTGTGTGCTGGCTTCTTCCTCGTATACAACTCTGGCCAACTGTAAGTACAAATAGAAAGAGGCAGAGATGAATAATACATATGAATTACCTTCATGCAGTAAGGGTCATATTGTCCAACCCCCATCTGCTGTGAAAGAACATCGTTTTTTAGAAAAATAAAAAATAAAAGGCAAGGTGCATGGATAAAAAAAAAGTGCAGGTATTGTAAGCAAACAGCAGTGTTGCAGGAGCAGGAGAGGTGTTACAGTGCTTTCAGAAAAGGTGTTAGGTGGTGTGTAGCTGCAAACAAGAGAAATGAAAGTCTTCTTGCACTCAAAATTATGGCTGCAAATATCTTTTCTTCATAATGTTCATAGAGCTTCTCGTGTTTGAACGTCTGAAGTTACTGACCGGTCAAGGTTCTGGGTTCACGTTTATTGTTGTTCTTTCCCACCAGGACAAGTTTGTTTTCTCGACACTGTTTAGGAAGCATACATATGGGCACATGGTGAGTGTTAGGATTTACGACCCTTCTATAAACAAAAGCACAGCCCGAACAGCCAACGGGGTACATAGGTTTGTAGGAATCATCGCATTGGGACCAAAAATGTTGGAAAAAAAAAATCTCTGAACCGACGATCAACAGACAGACGTACCGCCATTCATGTCGTTTACACATCCCAACAACAACAGATGGTGCACGCAACAACTCACAGACTCACAAACCTTCACTTTAAACCAAATCAACATTTGCTTGAAAAGGTCCCTGACTCCATTCACAGACCCCAAGGAGGTTTGACTGACAGCGGATGCGAAAGAACACAGAAAAACTGGTTCCTCTGTGGTTTGAGTCCTGAGTCACCGTCAGCGGATCTTGGTTGCAGTTGCTGATGATGAGAATCATGTAACCTTTATGGGATGGTTTTTAAAGAGGACTCATAAGCAAGCTAATTTTAGGGGGGCTTTGTGCTTTAGATTGGCCTTGAAGTATGCAATTATAAAACATGAAACGCACAAACAAAGGAAGAGACATACGCCGCTTCATGTCGAGTCTCAAATGGAAAGTAAAAGAAAACAGCCTTGAATTTGGAAGCCAATTCAAAAATTGTAGATGTGCTTGACATGATTTGGTCATTGGTTTTAATACATTTATATGCCGTCCCCAAACAATTTTATTACGGTTGTACTCCAATTTGAAATTTGAGTGTCCTTTAACGTTATTTTAGACCGACGTAAGAAGACCAACCTCCACCCAGTGCACCTGGCAAGAGGAAAAGTTTTTTTGTATGGGCCCAGATTTGTTTGATCAAAAGTCATCTCAAGATGAAGGTTTGTCTCGAGATACATCTGCTTCATCCATAGAATAAATAAATGGATAAATGTGTGCCTTGCTGCACTAGTCTCATGAAGCACTAGCTAGTTGCCTTCAGGAAACTCTCGAGTGGCTTCAACAAAAACAACAGCCAAATAAAATAGATATTAAAATGATAAAATCAAGTAAAAAATTGATTTGCATGTTGTGTCGGAGTACAAGAGATAAGGGCTTGGTTCGCTTTATGTATCGCAAACCGACTTTACCTTTTTTTATAGGGTATTCACAAGTAGAGGAGGACATTTTTTTTTCAATAAATAGTTTAACAGCCAAATTAACTGACTTACAGTGAACACATTGTTTTCGCTGAGTAAAAGTTGTATCATATTGCACGAACGGGGAAAAAAAAGTTTAGATAATTACAGCGTATTGGAAAAAATCCCCATCTACACCGTCACTACATTCAACTACAGCGCTCTCTTCAGCACGGCGGACAGCATGGCTGAAGTCTGTTGGATGCTGACGGAAAACAAAACAACAAATCAAACCACAGCGAGTTCCACCGCTGTGATTCTGACCTTTAAGAGCGAAAGAAGACACGTTAGTGT